CATAACCATCAAGCCACGCCCACAAAACCAGTAGTAAAAAAATTTAGAACCCACCCCTGGTCTAAGGTAGGAAGGTTACTTTTTTCTTCTTTCTACAGCTTGGTTCACATTAAGACATGATTTGTTAGTCCAGTGTTCAACAAATCACAACTGACTGGATTCATGTATCACACAAAACAAAATCACTTTTTAGCACAATGTGGGAATCTAATCAGAATATAGGTAGTTCTTGCTTAACTATCATCCATTCAGTGACCATTCAAAGTTAAGGCTGAAAGAATGGTACTTAAGATTTGGTCCCTGAAGTTATAGATGCTGTAGCACCACCATAGGGACTTGATTAAAATTTGGGTGCTTCAACTTCCCCACCACCTACCTTCTTCCCATCTCTGCCCTTTGGACCATCCTTCACAGGGGAATTCCTCAGAAGACCAGTGCCTTCAGCAGTTTTAGCAGTCTGGCACCATTCCTGGGCCTCTACTTTAGCCTCAGTATGGCCATCACAGAGAAATGCAGCTTTGCCAGGGTCCAAATAGACAGGGTGGGGGGATGGGAAGGTGAGATGGGAGGTACAGAGAGTTGAAGAGGAGGCAGAAGAAATAGTCTCTTCCCTTACTGAGGCTCAGGGCTAGAAGGGACCCAGCTAGGAATGGCTGGGATCAGGTGGGTTCTCACCAAACAACCAGTGGGATTTGGTTAATGATGGCAATAGGGACTGCTGGGATTGTCATCACTAAGTGATGCAGTCATGTAATGTCACACTTTATGCCCATATTGCTTAGCAATGGACATTCCAATCCCAATTCCAACTATAACTTGAGGACTATTTGTAGGTGTTTTTATGTCTAAATATAGCAATCAAGCCTCAGGTTCAATATTTATACAGAAGTTGCTACCCGATGCCTTTCGGATACTTCTATCTATATTTTCAATAAGCCTTTTTCAAGACAGACAATTCTCATATATTCTGGTACTGTTGCTTCAAACTCGGACCACACATTTTCTGAATAGTTTTTATCCCAGAGCTATAATTGCACTCAACAATGAACTAAAGGGCCACCATTATTGAGCTCTTGGACCGCATTACTTGGTCCGTTGTGTGAATGTTTGGGTGGTTTAGGGGTGCAGAATTTGTAGTGGGTGAGGGTATGTTTGGGGATTGTTATGTGTGTTGGACCTGGTCTTTGGGTGTTAAGTGAATTTCATTGCATGGGTATAGTGTATATACACGTACAATGACAATAAAGTTGTTGTTGTTGTAGTTCTTGTTGTTGTTGTTATTCAAACCACCTGGAGAGTGGTGAGTTTCCCATTCCTTATATACACCTTTCTTTCACTATGGCTTTGGTTTTAAAAAAATAATCTATTCAAAACGCCTTGAACATATTGTTCATAATGTTTGATGAACATATTGCTATTCACAATATCACCCCTTCCAGTGAAAGCCAATGCAGTGTTGAACTAGGAATGAGGACACTCAACTTCTAAATCATCCTCACCCGAAAAACTCCCTAGGTGACCATTATTTTCAGCCCAACCTGAATTGTTGCTATAAGAAAAATTAGGAGGCAGAAATATTATATAAGTAGCCATAGTGGCACAGTGGTTAAAATGCAGTATTGCAGGCAAATTCTGCCCGCAGCCAGCAGTTCGATCCTGACTGGCTCAAGGTTGATTCAGCCTTCCATCCTTCCGAGGTTGGTAAAATGAGGATCCAGATTGTTGGGGGCAATATGCTGACATTTGTAAATTGCTTAGAAAGTGCTGCAAAGCACTATGGAATGGTATATAAGTCTAAGTGCTATTGTTATTGCTATATATACTGCCTTGAGCTCCTGAATGAAAGGCATGATACATATTGTAATTCCTACGTAGCTAGATAATACCAATGCACATCTTGAGTCTGCAACCTAGCATCAACTCATTAACTGAAATATCAGCAAGGAAAAAATAATTTTTTTAATTCTATATTTTTTAAAAAAAAAAACCCTGTAAATTAAAGGAGCATTTAAAACGTCATTAACAACATTTGGTTTTTCAATAAGCAGCCCTACTTCTTTGGGGATCATATCCATTTTGTTCTGAGTATCATTCTGCTTGAAACAATACATGAGGACTAGTATTCAGAATTCAGACGCATTACGTCTATACACTTATGCCTAACAAAGGAATTGCCATTTGTTCTCCTGTCTTATTAAACCAAATTAGCTGGACTACAGAGAGCAAACATTGTCTCTATGGTACTAAGATAAGAAAGGCAGATGCTTACACAAACTCTTCGTGCACAAATCTCATTCCACCACCTACATAGCTCTTCTAAAAACATGTACACCTATTTAGCTACACCTTTGCAGTAAATTCTATAAAGTATAATTTAAAAGAAAGTATATGATCTGATAGTACTGATAGTACTGATAGTACTGATCAGTACTATAGTACTGATCTATAATTTACAGCATCCCTAATCACTGTATTGGCTAGTGCTGCTGAGAGTTCTAGTAATTCTTAATCCCTGTCCTAATTGGCAAGCATTAAGTTCAAGCAAAAGTTTAAAAGTGAGATCTATTGCACAAACTTTTAATATTGTTTAAAAAGTAAACTCTTAATGTTATGACTGCGCTTGCAAAATGCAGTAATTCATCCATTTTAGTCAGCGTAGCCATGCTGAGAAGGATAGCTAAAACATGCAATCCAACACATCTGAAATCCTCAAAATTATAATTCACGCAAGTCTTGTGACCACCAATCAGCTCTGTTAAAGCCCGAGTTAAGTCAGGTTTATGCTATTATTGATAGCCTAATTTAAACTAAAAGAGTGGGAAGCAATGGTTAGAAACATAGCATAAGCCTTGATGGTGGAGCAAAATACATATGAATACTATTTGTACTGTTCAGAGTCACTTTATGTAGGAGATGGGCAGTTGCTAAATATGAGAAATGAATATACAGTAGGCAGGCAGGCAGGCAGGCAGGCAGGCAGGCAGGCAGACAGACAGACAGACAGACAGACAGACAGACAGACAGATAGATAGATACAGAGAGACAGAGACAGAGACAGAGACAGAGACAGAGACAAACAGACCACAACATATCACTAATTCATCTACTTCATAAATGGTCATACTGTAGTTTGCTGGCCATGTGTGCACCCTTCTCCCATTCTTGAGCACCTTACTTGAGATTGGCATGAAATCAGTTCAAATTGAGTGAAATTTAATGTACTTTGCTAAATATGAATTAAGACAGAGTAATAGCCTGAAGGATGTTTTGACTCTTGTTCTGAAAGTTCCTAATGATACAATATCCTTTGATGTCCCCAAAAGTACTTTTTCAAGAGGCAACTGGACTTTCTGGTTTTTCTTCGAAGACGTTTTGCAGAAAGTCCGGTTGCCTTTTCAAAAAGCACTTTTGGGACAACCAGGACCTGGATGACTGAGAATCTCCATAGACATTTAATATTCTTTGATAATCTGTTCTCCAAAAGAACCATAGAGTTGTTTGGGAAATCTTTGTTGTTTTTGTTGGCAATATTCCTAATATGGTGCTAATATCCTGGGAAATAGCATTTCAAAAAAAAAAAAAAAGACACTGTATTATTGGCTTGTTCTCATGCTCCAGTGAAGAAAACTTGCTATTTGTACATTCAGGATACAGCTCAGGGAGACATGATACAAAACTCAACCAAAGAATTATTTTCACAATACTAAAACCATATAGGTCTAAATAAACGGACATCTTTGAACAGCCAAACAACAAACTTTTCACATTTTAACTATAAAAAGAATTTTGAATACATCAAAAATCTGACTTCAAGCAGGACTATCACTTGGTAAAATTCACTTGATTGATTTTTGTTTGTTTGTTCTGCTTTTCACTGCCCAGGAACAGCTGTTTGAAGAATCAAGACAGGTATAAGAAAGTATACTAGCTTGGAAATGTGCTTGATGGACTCCCACAAAACCTGGAGACTGCAAAGTGATCAGCTGAGGTAGGCAGTACCAAGAGAAAATAGAATGAGATTCTTTTAGAGTCATAAGAAAAGACTTGAAATCTGAGCAGAGCACCTCTATTTACTTGCACTAACAAGAAAGGACTAGGAGCAACGTGGCACCTTGCAGGCTTGCTAGATGAGAGTTTTCAAAGGTATGTGTTGCATCATTAAAACAAAAACAAAAATTCCCCTGTCATTTTTCTGCTGCCCTCTCTAGCTATCTGCTGATGCTACCATATGCCACTTCTTCTAACAGGGATGATTTTCAATAGGAACAGCAAATACCAAACACGCTGGAGAAAGAAGAGGGTCCAGTGTTCTTTTTATTAAAAAGTTTATACTTTTTTTTCCAAAAACTATGCTATAGACAGGCTTGAGATAAAACTGCAATAGATTATTTTCAGTTAGAGTGAAAACAGCAGCCGTTGCTTAGAAACTATAATCTTGGACTTTCTCTGCTTCATCGGAAAGCCAGTTACTCATTGGCAACTACCTAAAATTTTAAGAGTTTGCATGCCAGCAAAGCCACAAATACACACACACTGCCTCTCCTACTTCACCACCTTTGCATTGATAAAAGAGAGTAAACACTGACTCCCAGTTCCTTGTAGAAAAGGTGACTAGTGTTTACTGTACTATGAAGAATGAAAATAATAAAATACATGATCCTCAACTTCTATCCATGGAAAGGCTGAAATAAAAAATAATAATAATCACATGGTCAAAATCCTGCCCGCGATACTCCTTGTGTATCCCTGAAGTAATACCTGCCCGGCAAAAGTTCAACAGGTGCAACCTTTATCCATTCCGAAAACACTGCTTGAAGTTTGCTAAAGCGATTTGTTAACAGTAAAACAGGCTTGTATCTTTCGGAAAATAAAAGGCGGAACCTATTCAGAAGGACTTTTAACATCTTTACCTTTCAAGGGTGAGTGAAAAAGTAAAGGCTAAAACTTCTGGGGCTGGTTATGGCGCGCCTTTCCTCTTAGAGGAGGCAACAGCGACTTACCTGGGAATGAAGCCCGCCTCTTCCCCGAGCCGAAGCTCAAATTCCCGCCAGGCCTGGCTGGGACCCACCGCAGATCCCGTCGCCGCCGCCATCCCGGCGAAGGCACCGAAAGCGCCGCTCTCTTCCCCGGGGAGCTCCTCGCAGTCGCTCCGCCGCCTCTGCGGTTGAGCGACGCCGCGAAAGCCCCGAACGAACTCGTGGAAAGTGATGGCGCCGTCTCGGTCAGTGTCCAAACGCTGAAAAATAGCTTCGGCCTCCGCCGGCCGGACCCTCAGCTCGGCGCAGAGCGAGCCGAAGTCATCGCGCTCGATCCGGCCGGAACCTTTCACGTCGCAGGCCAGAAAGAGCGAGCGGAGCCGGCCACCTTCGTCCAAGTCTACCTGCTCCCCCGCGGAGGAGCCCATCACACGGCGAGCGAGGGCGGCGGGCTCGTGGAGACGCCTCGACGGCTCCAAGCGGCGGGGAACCCCGATCCGGGAAGGAAAGACCGGCGACTCTCCGCGCCCGAATCCGTGCTTTTGCTGCCGGCTGCCTTCCAGGCCGCCCCTTCTCCGCTCCACCCCTCGAGAAGGAAAAGTTCTTCCCAAGAATTTCGCCCCAGCGCCCGCCCTGCCTCCCAGTGGAGAGAGCTGCTTTGAGAGCGTCCGCCCGGGCGCGACCGCCCTGCGGCCTGCCAGACGTATAGGAACGGGGAAGACGGGGCTGGTCCGTCACAGGTGTGAATTCCACTTCTGACGATTCTTTCCCCCGCGGCGCAGGTTTCTTTTGCGGCCCGCCAAGAGCGCCGCATCCTGGAAAGAGGCGGCTTGGCTGCTTAGTCAAGGTTGACGACGCTAATTGACTAGGCGCCAAAGGAATGGCTATAGCCCCGAATCGAATGGAGCCTTTGCTACAGACCGATTCAACTGTGCTTAGCAGGGGGACAGGCGGCTGCCTTTCTGCGCCCCGGCCCCTGGCCTCCTTAATCCAGTAGGCTGCAGGCTTAAAAGCGGCCCTTAGATGAGGATGTTCCCCTCGACACAGTTTTCTTCTAAATAAGCGGGCAGCAGGTCCTGCTGTTCACTGAAAGCCCCAAACTATAAAGAATTTAACTTGATAGTCCACTTAAATACACCCAGAAGCCAAGAATCACGTCAAGAAATAGGCATCAGTTTCTATTGTCAGCCAGGTTGTTCTTGGCTAATAGCAGTTTGGGTCACTTTAATTCTATTATTTTGGAGAAGGAAAACCATACTTTTGGGGGAAATCAAGCAGAGTCTTCCCTAAAAAAATATCTTACTGGTGGAAACACTTTGTGGCTGTCCTCCTACTTTTTCCCATAAAATTGCCATTTTAAATGCTTCTCTATGTGAAAAAAGCCTAGACCTCACCCCAGTGGTGAAATTCAAATTTCTTTTACTACCGGTTCTGTGGGCGTGGCTTGGTGGGCGTGGTGTGGCATGGTGGGTGTGGCAGGGGAAGGATACTGCAAAATTCCCATTCCCACCCCACTCCAGGGGAAGGATACTGCAAAATCCCCATTCCCTCCCCACTCGGGGGCCAGCCAGAGGTGGTATTTGCCAGTTCTCCAAACTACTCAAAATTTCCGCTACCGGTTCTCCAGAACCTATCAGAACCTGCTGGATTTCACCCCTGCTTCACCCCCAAGCTTGTGTAATTTCACAAGTTTCATGATACATTTATTTAACTTGGTTGGGATTACATGTTTTACATTCATAGTAAAAAAAACAAACACATATTCCTATCTGAGTTCATAAGTTAATTTTGGATAGTTGATTAAATACAACGAAATGTCATTCTGAAATGTGAGACCCAATCTTATGTACATTGGGGGTTGGGACAAGTTTCAGGAAATAGTGGCACTACAAATTGCAGCATCTGACCTTTCTGCAGTGAACACAAAATAAATCACCTGAGACTCTAGAAAAGGAAGTGGCATTTACTTGTAACACTGGTTTTGTGACGTTGAGAGTCATTAAGAATAACTAGAGAAAATGTTCTCTTGCCAGGCTTGTTTCTGGACACAATTCTGTTTAGCCATACTTTATCAAAAGTTACCTAAGATTGTAACACTGTGTTATCAGTGAGACACTCATTTTTTAAAAAAACATGTATTTTTATTTTAAAAATAGCCATTGCATTAAGATCATAGAGAAACTTACTGACACATTTATCTTAAATAATATAACCATCTGCTCTGATTCTTAGTATTTCACAATACAGGTAGTCTTCGCTTAGTGTCCATTCATTAGTGAGCACTGAGTTACAACAGCACTGAAAAAATGGACTTGGAACCAGTCCTCAACCTTATGACTGTTGCAGTAGGAGGCAGTGTTCCTTGGTAGTGGTGTGTGCTTAGCAGAGAGAGGAAGAAAATGATGATTCCACCCGGGAGGATGGGAAGGTCCACTGGGATGGTGGCAGTGGCATACAGCAGCCTCTTCAGGCTGAAAGAGCAGAATTGAGGGAGAGAACATGGAGGGAGTAGAAGAAGTACTCCAAGGGGTTGGAGAATTGAAGTTCTGGGCTGGGATGGACCAAGTCAGGGATGGCTTGAATCTAGGTGTATCTTCACCAAACAATCCCAGGATTCGTTTTATGACAACAACTGGAACTGCTTTGTTTAGCTACAGATTTGTTAGTATGGACTTGGGTCATTGAGGACCACCTATATGCTGAAATGGAAATGAAGAGGCAGCAACCAAATGAGAAACAGTAATAAATAGACAGCTTATATCTAGTTGAATCCTTTTGCTTGTAGTATGGCCATGCAAAGTCACCTCTGGTGAGATAGGCAGCTATATAAGTTTGATAAATAAAATTTCATAAATGCTCAATTAGTACCATAAGGGGACAAATTCAAATTCTGATTCTGTGGTTTAAGCCCCATATGTCAGAGTCATTTTTATCTGGCCTTTATCATTTTTATAATAAATAAATAATAATAAATAAATAACTCAAGGTGGTGAACATAACTAATATTCCTTCCTCCTATTTTCCTCACAGTGAGGTGAGCTGAACTGAGAAAGTGAGTGACTGGCCCAAAGTCCTACTCATAGTATCTTGATTTCTAGCCCAGTGCCTGAACTACTAAAGAAAACTATATCAAAGGCCACGTTTCTCAAATAAAAGTAAGTCCAGCACAAAAACTCTATTTGATTTCATGTAATTAAATTGTAATTAAATTTACTTAAATGTTTTCTAATCAAGCATTTAATATAGATTACAATTAGATAGCATTTGAAGATCTCTGAGGGCCACATCCAAGGCTTTTAGGAGGCTCGTGCCATCCAAGAACCTCAATTTCTACACATGCACATACACATACCTCTGTTCTGCATTATTATTGATTGGATTGCCAATCCAAGCAAGTGGTAATAAAAGCCTTTTAAGTTGGGTTTTTTTTTATGATGCCAATTTAACTTTTAAGATTTAGACATCATGTTTCATAGGAAAACAGAATGCTACAGATCAAAATTCCAAATAGATAAGACAAGAAATCAATAATTTCAATTGAGACACAATTTTTTATACTAACAGTAAGTAACTTTTTTACCCACATACACAGGACAGGATGTTCTTTGCTATGGCAACTAAGAGTTATGTAAAAGAAAACCCCTATCATTTTATGAACAAAACAATCTAGATAATTTAGGGACATTGTTTTTATTCTGGATCCTACTGATGTAGGAGCCACCAGTCCACCCCTAGAATAAAAGATCAGCAAACTCTGAAGAAGGAATATAGTAGAATTATATTAGCATGATCCACTATCATGATCTGAAAGAACAATGGAACTTTTTTCTTCCAAGTTGGTACTTTTTAATAAAGAAAACTTTCCCTTAGATTCCAAGCACTGCATCGCAACCCTTCATCGTTTTTGTTTTCCTGTTGGTCTTACGTAGATTCAGAAGCATAGAGCTGTAAATCAGACCTGGGCACACTTGAATTTTCCTACCCACCTTTAGCCACACAGGATGTTCTTTGCTATGACAACTAACAGTTATGCAACTAACTTCACGGCCCAATTGGTTCGGCCTTCCACAACAGTCCGAGTTTCTCATGTGGCCCTTGGCAAAATTAATTGCCCTCCCCTGCTGAAAATAAAAATCATCCCAGATTTCCATTTAATCTTTAATTAAAACAATATGTTTTACAATTCTATCACTGGGACAGAAGTTTGATGCGTGTTAATGAAGATGATGTCCTTAGGCACATGGGATTCTGTTGTATCCCTCTAATTTAACAGCATAGATTTGGGGTACTTTCCAGCAGGAAAAGAAGTTACATAATTTAGGACGAAAGGCACTACTCAGAAATCAATTTTTGATACTGGAATCCTAGAATCAGAGAATATTAGATTTGGAAGGGAGCTTAGAGGTAATTATCAAATTTCCATAATAAAAGTGTTATCATGGCGACAGCATTTCTGGCAGATGATTCTTCAATCTCTTCTTGAATATCACTTGCACAAAGCCCATTGCTCTAAGACATTTACATTTCGTTGGTCTTCATCTCTTAACTCTAAAAAAAGCAATTTTTTGGTAATTTTCTACCCAATTCTGGTTCTATTCCTGTCCTCTGAAACAATAAAATACAAGATGTTGCCATTTAGTTCTCTATGGCTGCCGTCCATGTATATGGAAATAAGTATTCTATCTCTCTTAATTGTGTATTCCTATACTAAATGTAAGCATCTGCTTATATTTTTAATTTTTAATTGATGTCCAAAATTTTTATTATTTATTTATAAAGGATTGGTTTCTAAAATCATGATTATGGTATGATGATAAGGTAAATGTGATTATTACAGAATGTTTTGGAAAAGTTTCAGGTTTAAGAAACATCTTGTGGAGATACTAATTTAGCTTTATGAGATGAAAGGACTTAGATGATTTTCTTCTGAGGTAAGTAACATTCAGAGCAGAGATGGTTTCTGAGATATTTGAGATAACTGGGCTAGTCTTTTTAGTATAATCCAGGAAATTGAAAGATATCGAACAGCAAGATTTTGTATCCACTTGTGACACATAGTGTGCCGACGTTATCTGAAAATGCTGTGACCAAAGGTTATTGGTATACTCTTATCAAAAATTTGCATTTGACTCCCAAGAGAAATGCAACATTGTGGGAGGCTGATATTTATCTTGCCATAATGTTCAAGCCCTTTGCTTTGACTCTCTTCTTAAGATCAAATATGGTGTCATTTAGTGGTGTCACAGAAAATGCAGCTTACAAAACAGATGGTTCTTGATGTATTATTCAGGCAGCCAGTTTCCGCCTATGTAGGACTGGCATCAGTGTAGCAGCCAGAGGGACAACCCATGTTATTCAAGCAACTGGCAGAAAAAACATTCAACAAAAGACGATTTATTTTTATGAGCCATAGTGCAAGCAATGAAGGCAGAGCTCTCCGCATAAAAAAAGCAAAAGAAGGTTTTGTTCCAAAATATATTACGTAGGTATTGGTTTTAAAAGAGATATCAGTCAGAATGCAGCTCTAATTTAAATATCCAATATCTGGAGAGGTTAGATCTTCTGAGAACATCATGTCATTCAAATTTGGTGATGGTAGTTATATCATCAAAGAACTGGAAATATTTCTTGAAAATAGCTCTAACAAGATTTTCTTCATTTTAACTATTCCACAGATGACAAAGAAACACAAATAGGAAGCATTGGATAAAGGTACGTATCTACATTTTAACCACATAAAAAAAAATCATAGTCAAACTAAACTATTAATTAGACAACTACTGAAAGATTTGTCAGAGTTCTCACTCAGGTAACAACTTCACAGTTGCAATTGTCAGGTCATGAAATATTTTAACAGTTTTATTAACTTTTGTAATGGATTCCAAATCAGGTATAAAGCGGCAACCATATAAGTGAAGTATTTGCAGTCTGTTGGAATGAAAAAAGAACATCAGTAGAATAATAGTTTCACAATTGCCAAATTAGTGCACAATCACAATTATTGCACAACCACAGTTATGTTTTTTTATAATAATTAAGATGTTTCTTTTCTGTAAAATATATTGCAGAGAGTATGAGTACTGCAACATATATAATTCATAAAATACTGGTAGAATTTGAAGCAAATGAGAAACACTGGGCGTGTTTCTATAAGTAAACTGAACCTGCAGTTTTAATTTTGCTCTTATTTCTAGGAAACAGCAATGTGACATAAATAATAAACAGTGAGGTTAGCATTACAATATATCTAAAGAATGTATCACTATTGAGTGAAGTCAGTCATTCATTTGAAAAGAAACTTAAGGTTATTTCACTAAAACTATTAAATAAAACAAACAATAGATGATATTGGAAGCAAATTGCTCCAGAATTAATTATAGCACTCCATACTTGATTTATGTACACTAAATCACATCTGAGCATACACTGGTTCTTAACGTAAGTGTGAAAACACAGATGATTATTCTTTCGAAAATTAAACTCTACAGCTTAACAAAGCTTAAAAGTAATATCTTCAAATCATCCGCAAAACAACACAACAAATATCCTAAAGTTCTACCTTTATAAATATCCTTAAGTTACAAGAGTTGAGCAATCCAATTTTTAGACTTATACGTTATACAGGCCACAACCTCTTTCCTACCCTTTATTACACATTTTATCTATCTGGCTAACTTCCTGAAATATGGACCAGTTCCAAGAATTAGCAGCAATGGGGAATGAAACTGCTCAACATGTTTATGCATAAAATATCCCTGGCATTATTTCTGCTGCCCTTTTCCTTATTAGCATAAATATTTGCTTTATTCCGTACCACATGTCTATCACATATACAATATATTTCTAACATTTATAAACTTACATTAATAAAGAATACTGGTTGTTCTCATTCACCTAATTTCGGCAATATTTTATAAATGAATCTATTGCAGTTAGATTTCTCATCAATTCTAAAGTGATATGCAGCAATAAAATCACCACTTTAGTAACAAAAGAATCATAACCACACCCTTTGAATATTAATTCAGTGTAACTTGAGATGTAAAGATATGGGTCTATAGTTAGTATAGTTGGTGACATCTACTGAAAACTTAAATCTGTTTACCTAGCAGATTTAAATTGTCTGGAAGTACAAATATTTTTCCCTCATGCTGGTTGGCTAAGCATAAAGATTAAAGCACTGAATAAAGGCTTGAACAGGAAGCAGGTTCCAGTCTCTCTTGTTTTGAAATGTTATTTTTTTTCCAAAGCTAATGGGAAACTTCTGCAGGATAAAGTTCCAGTCCCAAGAAAAATCTTTATTGAAATAATGCTTGGGACCCAAATATACTCAGGATGTTACAAATGACCATCTATCCAGAAAAATAAAAAGGAAGGGACAGGAGGAAATAGACAACTTTCTGAGATCCTTGATGGGATAGTGAGTATAAAATATAAATACTGATAAATGAATATTTTGTAACTGGTCCTGCTAAAAACATCAGCCATTTAGTGAGAAATGTTCAAAACAGGCTGTCCAAATTCTAGGTCCTGCCAATAGTGCCCAAAGGTTAGGAATTTCTAATTTAGTTATTTAAAACAGGAGGGCATGCAATAAAATGTAAGGTGGAGCAGTCCTGTTAAGCATTGCAGCATTTCTCCATGCACTTTTCCTCGATATTTCAGTCCATTGCACCTCCATTTCTAACCTTGATTAGAATTTCCATTAATTTGCAGTGTATGGATGAAATTTATTTCTAAAGCTATATTAGCATTTATCCTTGAATATCAGAAAAATATGTTCTACCACAAATTTATCTAAACCTTTACTCAGACCATTAAAATTAAAGATATCATACATTGAAACAACAAATTTCATTAAGTAGGAACAGATTAAAACTACTTTGGCTTTTGGATGGAGTATTAGTACGGGACATAGGGATCCTATTCTTTTTCCCATATCTTTTTCATATAATATAATATAATATAATAAATCTTGGTCATAACCCCTGGCAGTTTCTTTTTTATTATTTTAAACATATCATATACTGAGGACTAAATAACACCGTTTATAAGCCCTAAATCTCTTGATTATTATGACCAATAATCCATAACATCTGGAGACCACCGGGCTATCTATCCTTACAACTTCATTTCAATAGTTAAAATAAGCTTGCCCTGCTTATTAACAAGTCACTGAAATGAAATAGTCTGAATTTTAGAGAGACTTTAGCATCAGTTTAAATTACACTCACCTTTTGCAGTTTTTACACAGTTTTGCAACTGCATCTAGAGAGATATTCCTGCAGAAACTAAGCTTCAGACACTCTAAGGTATTAAAGCAGAAATTAGCCAACAAGCAAACCCTGAAATCAAAGAACAAATTACATTATGCTTTTACTATAAGATTTGAAAAAAAGATCATTAAACAATTATCTTGGATACATTGTACAATATTAGGTGGGTCTATGTCCTTAATCATGAATAATTGCAGTGACATGGTAAAGAGAATGGTCCTGTTTTCTCTAATTAATTCATGGCATCTTTGGTTAGCTTAGATGACTATCACTTTATATACAATTTGTGATTTAAGATGATGGAAGAATAGCTCTGCCACCCAAGTGATCCTACGGCCATACATTTCTCCTTTTCTTTCCTTGGTTCATCATTGCAACTCTAGATCCCAGAACAAAAAGTAAGGCTTTACTTCTACTGCTAGCTAATCCCTCCCACTTTTGGTCCTACTCACTGAGAGCAGCTGAGAAAGGAGCCCCTATAAGCCAATCTCTGCATTACTATTGATGGGTGTGATGGCTGGTCTTCAAAGAAATAAAAGTTTCATCCATCATCACAAGTCACAAATTGAGCAGAAGGCCTTTTGCCCATGTTGGTTGGACACAGTGAACCTGTAGAAAAGATTCACCATCCTAAATGTCTGTTGGCCTTGCCTATGATATGACTGTTTGTGCCCACTACAAAAGAAGTAAGATGATATTTTGGCAAAACCTGTAGGTGTCTCTCCCATATTCATTGCATTCCTGGACAATGAACACAGTAACTAAGTAAACATAACAAATTACATTATGGTCATCACTGTCATCTTTTGTCTTCCAATTGGTAGATAATATCATATTTATCTTTAATGGCATTATGTGGGGGGGGGAACCCCTTAATTTGTAATGCTTTATCTGTTAAGTCATAAAAGGACCTTTTGTTTAATATATATCTGTTACTTTGAAAAGTTATAAGGACACTAAAAAGATGAACATTCTTTTAACTAATAGAAATCTCATATACATTCAAATTTGCAAAAAGATATAGTTTTTACCATGTAAGTTGTGTCAGCTTCCATTTACTTAAAAGATTCATTGAAATATATTTGGGTCAAAGGGATTAAGTGGGGACTAAATTTAGCATACAATTATTTTTATCTAACTATATTGTGGACAGGAAAATACATATGCCTGGCATCTGCCCATACATATAAATTCATGCAATAATAGCACTGAGTGATATGTCCCACTGACTGATATAGTATTCTTAGCAGTGGCAATAGTTAAAAGATAATTCATCATAATGTTACATAAATTTAAAATCTCCCAAATCTTTATATCAACCAGTTTTGTCACATTTTGTATTTGTCGGGAAAAAAAATCTCTATATTAGATGAAACTTTTTACAAAAAAATTAAGCATAAGAAAATGCTTGCAAAAAGTCTGCATGTTAGGTAACTGGATACAAAAATGTCCATATCAGAAGTATACAGTATATTATGTTGTGTATGCATTTTCTTTCAAACCTTTTACTAAATTCACAGATAGATGCTGGTCAAAACTGGCTACTGATAAAATGAGAAAGTAAGCAAAGCTAATTTGAAGTTTTCAGGGGTCTAAGTGATCAGGGAATAATTTACATATAAGTTTCATAACAGCAAATAAGGAATGTATATGAGAATGAGTTCTGAAAACTTTTCAAACTGTGTTCCATTGAAAGCCAATAGAATTCTAGGGTAATGCAAACATCATCAAACTCCTACAATAATGTGTACAATGTTGTACTACAATCTATATCATTGCAATAAGAACTTCTAATACAGTGGCATTTAAATAGTTCATAGGAAAAAATAGTCATTAAAAAGGTGGTTGAATTAGGGCTGAACAAAAGATACATCAAATCAATCAGATAAAACTCAGATTAGCAATACAGGAATGTATTTAAGCAAGCTGAGAATCAAAATTATAGCTACCTAGAATACAGAGCTTAATGTTTTACAATTCAGGGAAATTGAAAATGTATTGGAAAATGTTCTTTGGTCTACTCTCCACTCTATATCTTACTTAATAGATCTTCAGACCACCACAGATGTTGAAATTCACTATACATATGGGCAAACTGGAGTGTTGTAGCAACTGATGCCCACTGTCCAGCCACAATATGGGGGTAAACATCTACCCACAAACCCTTTTAAAAACCAATGTTTACTTGAACTAATTTAGTAATAGCACTTTTTGTAGATTAACTGGCACTACAGGTCAAATGAAGTCAAACATGACTCAAATAAGTTTTCTGTACTACTTTCATGATGTTTTCCAAGTTTCCTATCAAATTTCTGTGAATTTCTTGTATTATCAGATCAAGAAATGAATATTAATCAGGAATCCATGTGCTCAATCCTTCAAAAGCCTTAGTCATTTTGTGTTTGAATTATTGCAACACGCTCTGCATGGGGCTACCCTTGATGAGCCCTTGGACGCTATAGCTGGTGCAGAATGCAGGATTGAGGGCAGGTCTTGAGGCCCCAAGAATGGCCCATGTAACACCACTGCTCTGCAAGCTGCACTGGCTGCCAGTTTCCTTCCAGGTGCAATTCAAGGTGTTGGTAATCACCTTTAAAGCCTTTCATGGCATGGGTCTGATGGGTTCACTTAACAACTATGATACTAACTTAACTGTTGTGATTCACTTAACGACTGTGGCAAGAAAGATAATAAAATATGGCAAAACTCAACAGCTGTTGAGCAATTTTGGGCTCAATTGTAGTTGTACATTGAAGACTACCTATACTGCTAGGAAAATTAAGTAATTTGTAAATATTCTTCTGTTCACTAACAAGCAGCAGTCCTATTTAAAGACTTCATTCATTTATTTATACCCTCAGCTTCCTTTTTATATAATCACTTGAAGTGACTTAAAACAATTTTTAACCAATAGTAGTATTATGCCACTGCTTGCACTGACAATTTAGTTAATATTAAATAGACTCTTAAGATCAGCCTTAATTTTTGTCATCTATTTTCTTTTTTAAATGTGCAAATTTTTTTACCAAATATCTTACCCTCTTTTGCTTGTTGCTGTGGAAGTCAAATCAAGATAAGAAACTTTATGGCAATTCCTTGCCAAAGCTTGAACTCCAATATCACTCACGTCTTTACATCCATTAACATCAAGGTACCTAAAAGGATGCAAAAAGCAGTAACCTGACACAGAAACTGGTTTCCTGTCTACATTGGGAGAGGGTGGGGGGGAGAAGGAGTTGCAGTGATAGTAAAAGAGGGGACACGCAGCTGGATCCAGGCAGTGATAACTGCTTCCTTGGAGGAGGGAAGCTTTCCTGCCGCCTTGAAGGAGGCCTCTCCTCAAGAAACCTGCCTTGGATCCGGCTGTTTTGAGTAATTTCCGTCCAGTCTCCAACCTTCGCTTTCTTGCGAAGATTGTTGAGAGCGTGGTGGCACGTCAGCTCCCAATGGCCCTGGATGAAGCGGAGTACCTCGATCCGTACCAATTGGGTTTTAGGCCCGGATACAGCACGGAGACGGCATTGGTTGCACTGGTGGATGGTCTCTGGAGGGCTCGGGACAGAGGTCATTCCTCTGTTCTGGTCCTATTAGATCTTTTGGCAGCTTTTGAAACCATCAACCATGGTATCTTGCTGTGGCGCCTCGAGGGGTTGGAAGTGGGAGGCACCGTTTTACAGTGGTTCTCTTACCTCGGGTCAGACGCAAGCGGTATTGGCAGGGGGGCAGAGATCGACCATGAGGCCCCTCACTTGTGGGGTGCCCCAGGGGTCGGTTCTCTCGCCCCTTCTGTTCAACATTTATATGAAACCCCTGGGGGAGATCATCCGTGGTTTCAGGGTGAGGTACCATCAGTACGCTGATGATACCCAGCTTTTTATATCCACCCCGAACCAGCCCAGTGGTGCCCTCAATGTGATGTCCCGGTGCCTGGAAGCGGTACGGGTCTGGATGGGGAGGAGCAGGCTTCAGCTTAACCCTGCCAAGAGTGAGTGGCTGTGGGTAGTGGCATCTTGATCCGAAGGAGAGGTTCCATCGTTGGCTATAGGGGGTGAAGTTTTACCCCCTGTAGACAGGGCACGCAACTTGGGTGTCCTCCTGGATTCACGTTTGAGTTTAGATATAACAACCGTGACAGAGGGACGCATGCTCAGATTCGTCTGGTGCGTCAGTTGCGCCCCTATTTGGACCGAGATGCCCTACGCAGTTACTCAGGCGCTAGTCACCTCCCGTCTTGTCTACTGTAATGCTCTCTACCTGGGGCTGCCCTTGAGGACCACTCAGAGGCTTCAGTTGGTGCAGAATGCGGCCGCACGGGTTGTGATGGGAGGGTCCCGATACTCCCATGTTACACCTCTCCTGCGCGACTTGCATTGGTTACCAGTTGCCCTCCGGGTGAGCTTCAAGGTGCTGGTGATGATCTATAAAGCCCTACATGGCTTAGGCCCAGGATACTTGTCGGACCATCTGCAGCCAGCAACGGCTTCCCATCGCCCGTTCTCACAGGGAGGGTCTTCTCCGGGTGCCATCGGCTAGACAATGTCGGCTGGTGGTCCGCAGGGGTAGAGCTTTTTCTGCGGGCGCACCCACTCTTTGGAATCAACTCCCCCTGGGGCTTCGGTTGGCTCCTGATCTTCGCACCTTCCACCGCAAATTAAGAACATGGCTGCTCACATCGACTAAGGGGTTTTTTGATTATTTTAATGGGTTTTAATATATGTTTAAACTATATATTTATACATTTATGTATTTATACTTAGGTCTTTTATGTCTTTTATTGGCTTTGTTTTTACTTGTTGTGAGCCGCCCTGAATCCTATGGAGATAGGGCGGCATATAAATTATATTAAATAAATAAATAAATAAAAGAACCATCAAGATACTGTCCATAATTTTAGCAAAATAAAGAAAACAACAGAGCCGAGGTGGCACAGTGGTTAGAGCGCAGTACTGCAGCTACTTCAGCTGACTGCTAGTTCAGCAGATCAGCGGATCAAATCTCACCGGCTCAAAGTTGACTCAGCCTTCCATCCTTCCGAGGTGGGTAAAATGAGGACCCAGATTGTTAGGGGGAAATATGCTATTTAGTGGCATATTTGGTGTAAGCCGCCCAGAGTCCTCGGAGAGTGGGCGGCACAGAAATATGACTAATAAAATAATAAAATAAAATAAATAAACAACTTTTTTTAAAGCAAAGCAACATAATTATTACACTAAGGGGGAGATAATACTCACAGAGATGTGCAACTATAGGATTTCTTATCTCTTCTTTGATTAAATAGATTAAAAATGAGTTTCAGAACAGGCTATCCTGCTAAACCCATACTTCATTTATTGAATACATGTTACTTGATTCTCTCTCAGAGTTTAAACTGTGATCAATAGTAACCACAACTCTATGACTTTCAGCTTCAATTATAACTAGGTTCCAGTTCTTTATTTTAAATTTATTATTAAAATATCAGAATGTTAAGAATCTAATACACTTTTAAATTTTGCTGTTTAAAACCATATACATTTGATAGCACAACAAAATATTAAGTAGTTGCCACAGAAATAGTGCTATCTAGTACAGCTTCAAGGACACTTTAATAATGCATTTGAGGCCACAAACAGCAAAAAAGCAAAACAAAATGTAACAACATAACTAAGGACGAAACATCACTGAAAATTATTTAAATAATACCAAAATATATAAATTCAAGGACAAGTGGATTTCTAACATATTATCTTACCTGATCCCTGGCAAATAACTGCTAATTTCAATTAGACTGATGTCAGTTATGTGAGCACACGAATTAAGAACCAAACAATCCAATTTAGGACACTTCTTCAAAATACAATGTACTAGAGAATCCCTCATCTGCAGCCCAAAACAAGACAAAAGCAAGAAATAAGCCAATGTGGAGGATTGTCTTTCAATAATAGAACAGAGCTATTCACTGCAAGTCAAGTTCCTTATTGCCAGTACGATAAGGAGACCAGCTCCGGTATATTATTTATAGATTAATGTTCAATGTGTATTGGCATACATTTTCCCCATAACTCTTTTGAGTTTATATATAAGTCCACGCATGGTATTACTTTCCTAATCCTTTTAGGAAAGCAGAGGGTATAAGAACTTCTAAGGAGTGACTGATTCAAGAGTTAAGAATAGGGAGCCTAGATTACAGTGATTTTCTTCTTTTCTTGGAGTCAGTTCCATTCAGAGTTAGTAGGCACAAGCCCAAGAACCGTGCTTTGTAAGGGTTCCTTAGGACTTAATTGTATCTCCACTTCTATTTAACATCTGAGCAAGATTATCCCTATCAATATATGGATGACATACAGCTGTATATCTCAACCCTAGACTGAACTGATGATGTGGTTGGGGCCCTGTTCTAGAGACTGGATTCTGTTAGAATTCAGATAGGGAGGAAAAGGCTCAAGCCTAACCCTATCAAGTCTCAGTGCCTAGTAATACAAGAAGTCCCATTGCCAGTAATATTGGGCAATGTTGTTCTGGATAGGGTTGCAGGATTACCTCAGACAGAATTTGTGTGTAACCGGAGGGTCCTCCTGACTCTTGCTTGAAGTGCAAGTGACAGCCTTGGCAAGGAGGGCCTTTGCACAGATATCATAATTCATTATAAACATTCTGCAGTTAACTTATGTGATACCATTTGCAATGGCTTTCAGCTACAAATCCAGATAAAGCCTGGCATGACTTGGGTTCTGGATACCTAAAAGAGCACCTTGCTCCAAAGTCGCTGCTCAATCACTCACATCCTGGATTACCGCAGTGCATTCTGCATGGGGCTACTATCCTGGAAGAGTATTTGGAAGCTACAGCTGACATAGAAAGCAGCCCCATGGGTAGTTCTAGGAGCCCCTAGAGTGGTACATTTAACAGTGGCCTAGAATGGCCCCTACATTTAACAATGCTGCTGTACAAACTGTACTGGTTGCTGGTTTGCTTCCAAGTCCAATTCAAGGTGTTGATTATCATCTTTTAACCCCTTTATGGCATGGGTCCAGGATACCTGCAAAACCATCTCACCTGAATGGGATTGGCCCACCCCACTCATTCAAGCAGAAGAGGCATGCTGTGGACCCTTTTGTTAAAGAATTCTGTGGCTGGCGGGATCCAAGATAAGGACTTTTTCTGCTGTAGCTCCCATCCTGTAGTCTAGATTCTAGAACATCATGCTCCTCAAAGTGAGATCTACTCCCACCCTCTTCTCCTTTTGAAAGACCCTCAAACTGGCTCTGCTGATTGGTCTGGGCTCCTGATGAGAGCATCCCACATTGGAATTCATTAGTAGACTACAGAGAAGTTCCCACTCCCTACCCCATTGCATTCCAGTTTCTAACTCATCGAATTTATGTTAATTTTAATATTTAATGTTTTATATTTTGCTTTTATGATGTTGTAAGCCATCCAAAGTCACTTGACAGTAAGATGGGCGGGATATAAATTTAACAAATGAATAAATATAGTGGCAGGTTGGCCTCCTCTGCATCCAGTCTGTGTTTTAGCATCAGAAGAGGGGATACTAGGCTGGGAGAAAACTCATTTAGGACTTAAAAAAAAAAAATCATTAGTATATTTTAGTCAATAAGCCTATTAAGTGTAAAAGATTTATTTCTTCCAGGGATTACTGAAGCTTCCCCTAAAGAAGGAAGTTTGAAAGTGGAAAATAATTGCCTAGGACTGTGGGGCCCAAGAATGACTTTTTAATTTCAGTGTATGAATTATAACATGTTTATACACAATTTGCACCTATTTCCATAATATTTTGTGAATAGTATGAATATTCATTTTAGTGTTCAGTTTCCAAACTTATATCCAGAAGACTGATTTATTTTTTTTAAAAAGCAACATAAAATCTCAGTATTTTTCTACACTGAGAAACCTATAAAGCCTTCAGTGGTTTACATTTTTAAGTTGTCAACCTTTGACATAATATGATAAATTGAACACAAGCAAAAAAGAAATAATTAACAGAGGGAAATGGGTGAAATAAATAAACAACTCTTACCATTTCAAGGCCTGTAACATTGAGGCTAGTAAGCTTTTGCAATGAATTTACCATTTGCACTAAACAGTCCTGCGAGATTCTATGAACTCTGCCAATATTCAGAACCTCTAGACCTGGACATTTAGTAGAAATTGATTTCAAGCATTTGTCTGTAATGGCTTGACAGCCAAACATTTCCAGTTTCTTAAGGCTAGAAAAGAACATAAGGAAGTTAGTAATATCCTTCAAATTAGCCATTCAAGTGTCATTCATTTTTTTTTAAGATAAGTGCTTATAGATAACATCACTCCCAATTTTAACATGAGAAGCATATGAAAACGAAATATGACATTACTGATATTATAATATCTTGGTCTAAGTCTGAACATGTTATTGATAAATTAATTGATAAATTAAGCATGTAGGATTAACTATATTTTTGTATTGTAGCTGATTTCAGAAAGCACACGCTTCTTATATGATTTGATATAGCACACATGGGATTATTTATTTGGCAATTTGAAATTACCTACATGAAAAGAAAATAAGAACATATGTAAGAATTCTAGTAAATTGCAGGAATCCTGTTAACTACAAACAATTCAAAAAAATGCCCTCCCCTTCAAAATAGGCCTCTCTGTGGAATTTCTCCAGTGAGTGATAAAAGTTGAATTGGCCATATCCAACAGACAAAATGAGACAGAAAAAAAGAACAATTTTGCAGTCTTTGGTTAGGTGATACATTTAACATAGAAAATAAATAGTTTTTAGGGCCTTGAAGCATCAGCATATAATTGTTGAAATCTTGGGCTTGGCACAAGATAAAGCCAGCGTCATTCGATCAAGGAACAAAAAAGTGGCTTGCCAGGATATTCTTGGGCCAAAATAAACCGCAAGTGACAAATTAGCCTTAGAAATTTGGGAATTGTTATTCAACTCAGACCCATTAAATAGCCTCAGACTAGTAACTGTCAGCCTCAGTTCATTTTCCTGCCAGATCATATATTGATCTATCTTACAAGGTTGCACAGTAAGTTCTAAGAAGCACCTAGGAAAAATGATACAGACACTTTTCTACCATTATTAAAAATTCTCCTCTGTGTTTTCAGCCCAGATGCTAGTTATTCCTGCTTCTTCTCTTCACTGTTTTTTAGAGCTTTCAACAGACATTTATTCTGCTCAAAGGTGGGCTCTGAACAGTATGAAGAGTTGTCCACTAGAGAAGAGTAAAAAAAAATTCTAAAGGGCAGTTCATCATAACTAGAAAAGAAAAAAAGATTGTGTACAGTTTGTAGGAAACGAAAAGTCACATTGGGAGACTCTGGTTACAATCTGTTAGGTAACCAAATGGAAATATAAACATTTGGTAAAGTTTGCACTGTATTTGGTTTTATATAAATATTTTTATTCAAGTAGATAACATATATTATATAGTTCAAATTAACCATAAAGACTAACTGTAATTAAATGTTTTGTTTGTTTGTGTGTAGATAAAGATAACTTGTACAGGGCGAAAGAAGTTAACTGTCTATCTCAGGCAAAGATGCAAATCTTATGTAGGTGAATACACATGAAAATAAATAATGAAATAACACAGTCATTTGCCTTCAGCTTCATAAAGTTTAAATCAAGAATGAGATATGATTTTGTTTTCAAAAATAATAAACCAGAGTCTATGTAGTTATCACATCAACTTATGATTTGTTCCAAAAAACAAACTATAATTTTAATCTTGAAGTGAATATGCGTACAGTACTATGTTAAGACAAGAAATCAAGGAGAAGGAATTATGGCTTTTTTTTTTTTTTGGTGAACTCTGCATATCTGTTGTACTTATTACAAGACCTAAATTCTTAAGGCATTCCGCGATAAAAATGCAAAATAATAAATAAGGCATTCATAAGGTTTTGTTTTCTCTTCTGAGACCAGAATTTATTTAAAGTACTGCAAGCTACAACCTTTTCTTACAGTATATTAAACAATATAATACATTACAAACAATATAATACATTACACAGAAATAATGTAGTATTGAAGCTTTTTTTGTCATTAAGCAGGCCAAACAATCAATACATACAAGTTCAAATTACTACAAAGTGCTTGAATGATGGCAACATGATTAACTTAAAATAAGATTTCCAACATTTGCCATCATTACTTGTAGTGTTTGTGGCATGTTTATATTTCTTCCTGGAAAACAATTTGCAGTATGCAAATGTTAGTGGTATACACCTAAAAAGTGAGATGACTGGAGCAATCATTGGTTGTACATCAGCTGATGACAGCAGTGAAGATGTTTATGATTAAATGAAAGAAGGGCTTACCAAAGTTGCTGACAATGGAGGCAACTATCTACAAAGAAGACAATTAAAAATGCAGGAGAGAATCAGAAACAAAAGACAGGACATTCTCTATTGTTGGAGCTCAGATAAAGCTTTCTGAGAAGATTCTACATCTGAGCCTTCAAGAAAAGAGGCACTGTAGAACAAAAGATAGGATATAGATTTTTGAAAGGCAGAGAGGATGCAGTAGCACTTCTCAAGAAAATAAGGAAAAAAACTGATGGTGTTACCTGGTTGGATAAGGAAATATCTTCAAGAAAACAAACGAGCTTTAGAGAGCACCAGGGACCCCACAGTTCAACCCTGAGTTACAAGTACTCTTCTACCATAAAAAGCATTCTTCTATCATAGAAAAAAGTTATAACTGATCTGTTGTTATAAAGAACTGAAACAAGCATACTATATGTTAACAGGATCAGTGAGCTTGTGAAGTACTGTATGTTAATTACCAGGAATAAGAATCAGGAATCTGAAAGAACTTCCGAGATTTAGCGAGTTCACAAACAATTGTTATTTCTCCCAAGCTGTACATACAGGGACATTTGTACAGCTATAATCGTATCATAATTTAAAAGATAAGGAAGGGATTTCAGTAATCTAGTCTTTTCATTTATTCATTTATATCCTCATTTATTCAAAAGGAATCCACAGAAAACACTTCAAAAAAGATATGTGAATGACATGGTGTCCAAGAGAGAAAGGTTTGTGGGATCACCATCTGAATTATCTAGATAATGGACTATTGAAACACTATGCACTGTTATCCACAAAGATTAGTAAAAGTAGTTTAAGCATAGTAAGCTATGTTTTTCTGTTGCAATAGCAGGGCCTTTGAAACTACTTAATAAAAAAATCAGAAAGTTGTTTTATAAAATTTGTGACCTAGGTCTAAGCACTAATGTTCAGATTACGGGAAATAAAATAAGATGAATGTAGTAAAAGAAAGCATAGTAAGAATAACTGAAACTTGGGTCATATGACTTCTATAACTAGAACAGAACTGAAAAACATAATTTATTCAAAAGGAATTAATAGAAATATTAAAAGACAGTTGTAGGTTAAAAAATCCATATCTCCTCAGAAACCCAAGGAGTGAATTTAGTGATACTACACTATACTGGATTAAAATATATGGAGGAATGAACAAAAGTAATACTATTACTGATGATCACTATCACCACACAAGCACAACGAAAAGATGTCTGTGATATAAAAATAAACTCTAGAATTTTCAAAGATACATAGAATAATTGTGATGGGGGATTTTTAATTACCCTAATTTATGCTGGTCAAACATTCTCTACAAAATTTCTAACTGACCTTGTTGACGATTTAATTATTAAAAGCTGGGAATAGGCACAAAAGCACAGTATTGGGTATTCTTGACACTTAGCCATGACAGGATTTCTTTGCTTGGATGTATTAAAATGAAAGCTAACCAGTCATTGGTCAAGGATGGTTTTCTTTAGCATCCTGCAAAAGTCTGGACTCAATTAGAAAGATCTGTGTGTTCTGGGTTTAAATTCATGGGTTTGACTTTTGTCCTAAGTACAATTGCCAAGCATAGTTAACCACGGCCACACATTGGAAAGGGTTATTTTTATAATAATAAAATTATTATAATAATAAAATTTTATAATAATAAAATTGTGGTTTTGGCAGCAAAAATATAAGTCCAATTTTATAGAAATTAGGAAATGTCTTGTGCACCCTTCTAAATGAAAGCAATGATGATGCAACCACCTTGTACTGAATTTTGATTCACAATTTTAGTTGGCATATACCTTACCTTTTTCCATGCTTTCCAATCAAGGCCATTACTGATTCATTCGTAATCTGGCATCCATTAGCAGAAAAACACTGTAAACTAAAGGAACAGTAGCAATTGCAATTGCAAGCAATTACTTGCATTTATAATATATTAAAGTATTGTACAATTTAGTTGATTTGAGCCTGCTTCTTATATTGTAGATGTTGACTTTCTGATGTGCAGGAAAAGCTGAGGAGCAAATTTCACACATCTATCTATATATAAGAATTATTTTCCTGTCAATCCTCTTAACTCTCTTTAGTTACTTTTATACAAGTATCTTCTTCTATAATGTATCAGATTTTCTTACAATGAGTATGTTCTGATTAGGAAACTATAATATAAGATGTGGTTTTAAATATAGGCTCCTGTACTGATCTCATTTATTTTTCATAGTAAATGAAACAATATGAATACTGACCTTAGAATATTGCAGATATTCATCATGCTAAATTATAATGTGACTTGTTTTCATCTTAGCAGATTTAGGGAATCATACATTACAATTTTATACCATGTGTGAATCAAGCCAAATAACTTTTCAACAAGCAGGATTTTTAAAAATCTTGGCTTAAAGACCAATACATGAATTCAGTCAAGTTGAACCAAAGTTTAGTTTCTATAAAATTAACCATGATGCAGGTATATCTAGTTAAAAGTCAGTCCCACCTTAATCAATAAGCTTCCTCTGAAGTAGATACTACAAGTAGCACAGCTTAAAATTCCATAATTTGATATTGTGCTTTAATGAAAAATAAACAATTATCTTTTACTGGATTAACTACATTTAGGAAAATCAGTATGGATGCTTGTAATTTTTGCCAAACCTATTAACATTAACATAAACTAAACACCTTTCAATTTAAATCCTAACTTTCCCTCATTTCAGATGATGAATGCCAATGGAGAGATGTCCAACATTGGATATTGAAGGGGGAGGGGAAAGGAAGCTTGCACCAACAGATATTTTTATTGTTGTTTATTTATTGCATTCCTGGTTATAAATAAATACAAATCAAAACAATTTTAAAATGGCAGACCACATTGAGGAGTAAAGATGGCAAAAATGACCAAAAAAAGAAAAAACTCTGACAGGAACAGGAAGAAATAAATTGCCAAAGGGGACTTCGCTCATCTTTGCAAAAGATCAGGGCAGAGCCAGGTTTTTAAGGCCCTTCGAAACACCAGCTAAGTGGGGCTGTCCAGAATTTGGGAGTGACCTCATCCCAAAGGGCAGGCACTGAGAAACCATATTTATAGGGTTTCAATACATAGTATGGTTTAACTTAAGGAGTGTGCCAATCCTGCCAGATCAAATTGGCGAAGCAGATAATGTGGAAGACAAGTGGCCCCTCAAGTAACCAAGCCCTATGTCATGTCAGCTTTTATAGGTAATAACTAGCACTTGGAAACAAACTGGCTTGTACAGCTCACAAAACAGATATGTTAAGATATGCCCAACTCTGCCTGCCCTGCTGCATTTTAGACCATCCTTAAGCTTCCTGATGTCTTCAAGAGAAGATCTCATGCAGAGAGTTTTGCAGTAGTCAAGCCATGAGGTCATCATGACATGAGTGAATGGAATCCTCAGGGAAAACACCCCAATTAACAGAAATAATAAAAGGGCAAGGAAAAACAGAGGAAAATTGAAACAACAATAAATTGCCATAAATTACTAATGTTTTATGGAGAGAACAGAACAATGTGATGAGTGAAGCAGAAGTATTCTAATAAAAAGCAGGGCAGGGCATTCCAAACTGCAAGAAAATCCTATGTAATCTTAGATATGCAATTGGCCTTTCCCATTGTTTTACAACTGATTGTACAAAATGGTGGTAAAAGTATTTGGAGACAAAGACATTTTCAGGAATTTATTTTTTTAGATACCTTCTAGAACCTTTGACTAGGGCATTGAGTCCAAAATCAGTAGCTCCTGTCCAACTTATATCTATAACTGCCAAGTTATGGCAAAAGGTGCTTGCATGAAGCAGAATCCTGTTCCCTTTATATCCAGAACCACTGCAGTTTTTTATATTCAGTTCCTAAGTACAAAACAGGAGGGGGGGGGAGAAATTGCAATGAATTGAATGAAACAATAATTTTTATTAGTATTCCTTATACATCAATCAGAATCATTTATTGTTTATTTTAGGGCAGTGCCACACTTCAGTTGTAAAGCAAAAAGGGTACTTGGCAGTTGTAAGCTTAAAGCAGCTGCTTCTTTTCCTGGAATCTCACAACTGTAATGTGACCCTGGGAAAAATGTGTTTGGTTTAAGAAATTGCTGTAAGATGCTCCATGCAAACCTATGTATTCTCTAAATCATCCCTTGAATCTAAAACATCCACCCAATCCCTATTGTTTATGTTTACAACAGGTTAGAAAAAAACAGTGTTTATTATAATAAGCTTCCTTTCAAATTAAATTCTAGACAGTTTTTTGTAATAATCAAATCAAAGAATTGAAAATTCATAAAGATTTTCAGATTACATTACTATTGCTTTAACTTCATGTTTTGTGTCTCACGGCAACATTTCAACTCTACATAGTTTATGAGAGACAAAAAGAAAGGAGGGAAAGGTGGGGGAGATACTGTATCTGCAGTTTTTAATATGTTTTTGTTCTTTCCATTTTTTCTGTCAGCTTCCATCATCATTTCTCAGAATGTTTCTACTGCAGGGATAAACAAAAGCCCCCTCTTGATCTCAGTAGCGCTAACAATATATAATTTTGGAATGAGTCAGAAAGACACTGTCTTGCAAAATTTTAACAATAAACCAAACATTGCTTTTCTTTTTAATTTGTATTTATTCTATTTATAATGTTATTAATTTCTAAGCTTCCATTTTGTAGTTTCATAAATGTACCGTCTGTTATAATCTTTTAATAAGAAAATAGCCTCTCCTGGACTTTTCTCATCTTAAAATGCCATCTGAACATTAATAAATCTGACTGGGATACTGATACTAGATGGGAGATGACAAATGACTCATGTAAAAAAACATTTCTTGAAATAGAAACAGGGTTAATTAATTTGAGTTTAAATCTTGGGGTTTCTAGCTTGACATCTTGGATTGATTGGATTTCATTTTCCAATCTCAAAGAAAAAACTATTTTTTGGATAGGTACCACCACTACCTGCTAGATCTTTCCAATTCTGGATCAGGCAGTGGGGCATGTTAGAAGAACTACATGTTGACCAACATACTTCCAGCATGAAGATAAAATAAGGGCATACCTGGAGATAATTAAATTAATTTACTCTTTTTGCAAGAGAAAAGCATGGAGAAAGAACAAATACTGCCTTACTCCATATATATGACCTCTTGGGATGACCTCAACAGAAAATTAGGTCAACATCTAGCTCTCATTTCTAATACCACATTCTAAAATTATATTGCTTATAGCAGACAGCCAGTTTGTTATCATAACATCCTGAATTACAATTTTTACAAGTAGGTTACTCATTATTGTTCCGGATCTACAGTCAGAAAAATTGAAATCAGCCGTTCTGATCTTATTGTGAAATATGGAAGCGTTACTACAAGCGTTACTACAGAATTACCTTTTTATCTATCAAGATGTCTTATGAGCTTGTCATAGATATCCTTTTGTTTTTAATTTGATTTTGGAACCATTTGTTTGCCTTATTAAACAAAGGGAAGATATGCTCAGTATAACAAGTGGACTGAATGCAAGCTGTTATTAATGCAGATGGCATACTATGTCTTATTGATAATTACACTGTACATAAATTACTTATATTATACAATGCTAGTAATTTATCAGGTTATTCAATACACTGGGAGAAATTTCATATCTCCTATGGGCAGTATGTGTATGAAAATTTGTAAAAAGTAGAGTTCTTGCTTTTTGCTTGAATATTTTAAACCTCTGGGAATAATAATTCCAAGGAACTTGTAGAAGAGCAGGTAGAGCTGGGGGCAGAGTTAAGCACATCATCCGCTTAGAGTCACTGCTTTCCCACAAGCGCTCTAAGTCCAACCCCTCTCAAATTCCATTGATCTTTATCTGGCACCAATTTAGAGTGGAACTTTAGTTGACCAGATTAATGTCAGGAGCAAAGAATCGGGACCATTCACAAGGTTGCAGCACAGAAGATGTATTCAAGGCTATACACAAGAATCTGGTGTGGTCAGCTTTATATTTAGGTCAAATATAACATGTATGAGTGAACTCACGGCCCTGAGTCCTTCGGGAGAAGGGCGGTATAGAAATTTAATAATAAATAAAAAATAAATAAATAAACTTCTGTGCATATTTCGCTCTTCCTTATAGTCCTTGGAGCTTTAAAATTTTTACATAAGGTACGCTATAGTACCTCTTTGAGAACTTAAGAATTAAATAAGATCTCATCCCCAGCTCTTGAATGGAAGAGATTCTATAAGAGGAGAAACCAAGTGCATAAAAATATCCAATTTACTCTTATTCATGTTGCATTGAGCCTTGGTGGTGCAGTACTGCAGGCTATTTAGAGTGCAGTACTGCAGGCTACTTCTACTGACTGCCAGCTGTCTGCAATTTGGCAGTTCAAATCTCACCAGGCTCAAGGTTGACTCAGCCTTTCATCCCCTCCGAGGTCAGTAACATGAGGAGCCAGATAGTTGGGGGTAATATGCTGACTCTGTAAACCACTTAGAGTAAAGCACTGTGAAGCGGTATATGTCCAACTGCTATTGCAAATCAGAATTAATATAAATATGGAAACCATACTGAAATGAGTAGAGCTTGGTTTTCAATAGAATATATTTTTAATTTTGTGAAATCAATATTACTTATATTATATTAAACTAGAATGAATATGACCCACTGTAAGCATCAGGATCGAGTAGTGTGTATAGAAATTTTATTTCTTTATATTATACTATGTTCACATACCGTGTTTCCCTGAAAATAAGACCCTGTCTTATATTTTTTGAACCCTGAAATAAGCGCTTGGCCTTATTACCATGCGTTCAAGAGTCCGATTGGGCTTATTATCAGAGGATGTCTTATTTTGGGGAAAACAGGATAGAATCGTATAATTTAAAATCTACATAAATTATAATGAAAATTAATAAATATTTCCCAACCTGCTATAATTACAAAAACAAATCCAAGCTTTATATTTAAAGTGGACATTACCTTGAGATATCCTTCACAGTACTGGAAGAATTGTTTAAGCCCAACTTCAGAAATTCTCTGATCTTTATCATGGCAATGATCAAGAGTGAAACGCTCAGGGCGGTGTTTTCCTAAACCAATCAACCAATCATCATTTAAGCAGTGGCAATCTTTAAGCTGAATCTTCTTCCCTGGAGAAAAATAACCTAGTTTATTGATGCAGGAGGATGTTTATTCATTAACTAAAGACTTTTTACAATATTTCTTTTACAATGAAAATAAAACATTACTATTAATAGAATAGAATTCCTCATTGGCCAAGTGTGGTTGGACACACAAGGAATTTGTCTCCGGTGCATAAGCTCTCAATGTATATACAAACAACAAAGTGATAAGCCATAGATCATAAATCATAAGATACAACAATTGATAAATCATAATATACCAATAGGAGAAGGTAGTAGTAAAGATGAGTGGTGAGAAAGATGAGAGGGACAAGATGACAAGGATAATAGCAACGCAGCCTACTACATGGGTAAATATCTTTGGGCAGAAGACAGTGCTGTAGGAGTTAGGTATTTAGCTGAGTGATGGCATGGGGGAAGAAGCTGTCTTTGTTTTTAGTTCTTTTGGCATGCAATGCTCTATAGTGGCATCTTGAAGGGAGAAGTTGAAACAGTTTATGTCCATTTATTAAGGCAAAATGTATGATTTTCTTTTCCTTGGAGATGTATTGTGGCAATTGCTCACCACAATCATTCACTGAATCTGAACAAGTAAAGATTTGAAATTAGATTTTCTCAAGCCCCATTTTACATTACAACCACTATATTTGATATTTCAATAGCATGGAAGAAGACTCGGGATACCAAGAACAAAAGCTGCAGTGTTAATTGGGTGACCCAGGGAAACGTCAGTGTTAATTGTAATAAAAATTTTCATGCTAGCCAGGGCTTATTAGTATATTACTCTGACTACTGTACAGCCATCTAGAGAAAGCAAATCCACCTTGGGTGTGCTAATGGAAAAATACATAATGTCACGGGAGTCACATTTTAGGAGTCAATCTGCTGAGGCAGTCTCTAATGATAATTATTCATTTACTGAATAAATACTAAAGATTCCAATGACTGAGGCACTTAGCCTCCTCTAAAGTAGCTCTTTGGATCACAAACTTTATGTATCAAATAAACACTAGACGATATCAAAGCAAGCAAATTAAATGGTATGAACTAGAACTGAAAAGTACCTCTCCTAATTCAATTAAACTCTTTGTTATAGAATAATGAGGGGAAAAGGAAATAACTGTTTTTCTTAAAATTGTGTGCAATTTCTTCCAGAGGCAATGACAATGACTGTTTTGAGAACAAAGGTGCGCTGATTCTTAAAAGTGTTTGAAAAGCAGAGCTGCTGATTTCTTCTATTAATGATTCTTCAGATCCAGTCTTATATTTTCCATTATGCCTCACAAATTATTAGTTCATGCATGTTTACACAGGTGCAAACTCTAGCAGAATTAGTGAAGTTTATTCCACTTGAAGAATATGATATGAAGGACTGACTACAGCTATAAAATAAATGATATAATATTCATCACATAGAACTATTATAAAAAATATCATTGTAATCTTGAAATATAGACCAGAGTAATGAAAGTGGCATTTGACCAAATTGAGAACTCAAGGTATTTGTAATTTGCCAGCAGTTGCTATTTATAAATTGGCAATTATCTAAAGCGAGATAATAACCAAGGAGTCTAGGGCAAGCAGTGTACAAGACTGAAGCACAAATCAGAATCAGAAGTTAAAAGCTAAAAGCTAAAAGGCAATAATGAGAAACAAACTGTAAATCACTGCAAATTTGAGAAAAACCATAAACCGCACAAGGGCCTTGATATTCAAAAAAGGCTCAACTCAGACAGGAAGTAGCGTTGCAATGCTTTCCAAGAGGATCCAGTACAGATAGTCTTTGATTTACAACCCCAATTGGGACTAAAATTTCTATTGCTAAGCAATGCGGTTGTAAAGTGAGATGCCATATGATCACATCACTTAGCAACTGCAATCTTGGTGATCCCCGTTGCTTTCTTTATGCGCCCCTGCCTTGAGGAACATCAAGAAGCCCCCAAACTGTGCAGCTCTGTGGCTGCTTGCCGTGACATGGCAAGCCAGTTTGACATAGAAGAAAGAATAAGAGGTTGGTTTCATATATTTGATTTTCAGATGTCCCAACAGGAGCCTTGAACTTTGCTCTTGAGCCCCACCCAAGAAATCCACAATGCATCCAAGCCAGTTTAACACACTTTATTTGCAACTGAAGTACAGGTAATCCTCACTTGACAATGGTAATGGGACCAACAACACAACTACAATGTGGTTGTAAAGTGCACTGTTACATAACCATGCTGACTTACATTGACAGTTGCAGCAGTCCCAGTTGCCAAAGTTCAGAAAATTCTGTGTGGTCATAGCATCCCATTAGTCAAGGAGGACTAACTGAAATACATAGCACCATCTAAACAGATTCCTCTTGAATCTAATATGTTTAGAGCTTAACTTTATCTTATCCCTGTCCAAGAGCTGGGCAGAACTTCACTATAAACTGTTTCCAACTCTAGAAGTCTCAGTAACTCTTTTCTCACTCTATTTCTCACACCAGCCTACCTTCTATATATTCATACTTCTCTAAACAACTTAAATACAGAAGAGAGCAATTAGCTTGGCCCAAAGAGAATGAATTACAAAATATCAGAGAACTAGCTAAATTTGTTTTCTACAGTGAACAATAAATATACCCACTTAACATAATAATATAAATATTTTTTAAAGAAATAATTTTTAAAGAAAAACCACCTCCAAAATATAAAGCATTCATAACATTACATTCATAAGAATCAGAGCAGAGGTGGCATTCAGCAGGTTCTGACCAGTTCTGGAGAACCGGTAGCGGAAATTTTGATTACTTTGGAGAACCGGTAAATACCACCTCCGACTGGCCCAGCCCACATCTACTCTCTGCCTCCTGAATCCCACCTGATAGAGAAGAAATGGGGATTTTGCAGTAACCTTTCCCTGGAATGGGATGGGAATAGAGATTTTACAGTATCCTTCCCTTGCCATGCCCTCCAAGCCATGCCCAAGCCATGCCACGCCACGCCCACCACGCCCACAGAAGCGGTAGTAATTTTTTTTTAATCCCACCACTGAATCAGAGCTATTTTTATAGCTAAAATTATAATTTGTTATCTCTTTGCATTTAAAATGTTAGATTTGGTGGAGTTTTGCTTGGTATTAAGTGCTCAAAGCTCAAATGTTCTTACAGAACACAATTGCCTGATAATGCTATGCAAGAAAATTGTTACTAACTTAATCTTTAACTTTTTCCAAATAAGCCTACTCCACCCAATCCACCCCCAACACATAAACTTTTTTTTAAAAAAAAGATGCTTGGAGGGAGATGTTATCTGCAGACAACTTTGCAAGTTTACATATTTATTATTGCACTTCTGAGAAAGAATGTTCACATATGTCAATATCAGGTTTTTTTTTACTTGTGCCAATTATATTATTGATCAATAATCACTTTCTTGTGAAATTTTAGAACATTCAAGTTTACATCACATGTGAAGAAAGCATTTGCTTTTTTAAAAAGTCAAAATTGCTCTAAAAGAATGAGAGAACAGAAAAGATGTATTCTAACCTAAATCTAAAGATCCAGTAAACCAAACTCATTCAGAACTATTTAATTAGTAGACTTCTTACATCCTTGACTCCACAGGTGCAACTTATACTGAAACTTTTGATAAAGTGTATTTCTCCTTGTCTTTTAGCAAAGTATTTCAGCCACTTTTTTGAGGGATTGGGGGGGGGAGTGTTATGATGCAAAGATCATGCACCTTACAAAAGCAAGCCTAAAATACATACACAAGTTACGGAACATATACACATTATTAAAAGACAGATCTCGGCTGCATCTAATTGGCTGCCTTTCTTTATTAAAGGTGCCAAGTGTTTGCTTTGGAATTCACTGTGGGAACTAACACAAGCCTAGAGCTACTAACTTAGAGCAAATGACCTTCAATTTGTTTTCTTTTATAGCAATTATCCAAAGCATTTTCCATTTCTTAGAAGTTTATCAGCAAATCTTGTGTTGCATAACTCAGTTTTCTTTAATAATATCTAAGATAGACGAAAAATGTTGGAAATATCATGAAACAGGAATGTTTTCTCATATGTGGTGGACATTTTTTAAAAAAACCAAATTATTGGAAAGATACATAGCACAATGCAGAAATTTTTGCAGTTTAAATCTGAAATGAAGCCACAATTTTTCCTACAAGGCAAAATTTCAGAAAAAAAATAATAACCATTGTAATTTAATGAGATATATGCTTACTTCAATGAGAAGAAATTTTGTTCAACATTGGAAGAAAGACACAACGTTGACTGCATCTGATTGGGAACTTAAAACTTGCAGAATATGCAATGATGGTAAAACTAGCAGTATATGTACACAACAGAAATTTAACTAAATGTAAGCAAGAATTGTTCCCATAGATATAATGCATAGCAAATATAATCATTTACATTCTGGCTTCTTGGGGTGGGGGAGTAAATATCTACAAATATTGCAAATCAATGTCTATGGCAATAGCACTTAGATTTATATACCGCTTCACAGTGCTTTACAGCACTGTCTAAGCGGTTTACAGAGTCAGCATATTGCCCCCAACAATCTGGGTCCTCAGTTTAGCAACCTCGGAAGGCTGAGTCAACCTGGAGCCTGGTGAGATCCGAACTGCCAAATTTCAGGCAGCTGGCAGTCAGCAGAAGTAGCCTAACGACTGCACCACCACAGCTCATGGGGGCTCTCTATAAATGAGGGACCCAACAGTTCTTTTTATTATGTTCCTTTTTCTTCCTTTTCTTTAGTTATTCTCATTAAATTTGCTTTATCTTTTCCTTTTATTAGTAGGTATTACACATGTACCTACCAGTGGTGGGTTGCTATTGGTTCTCCCCGGTTTGGGAGAACCGGTAGCAGTGGGAGACTCTGCCCACCCACCCGGACGTCATCAAATACGCTCTGCACATGCGCAGAAGCAGTGCGTGAGTGAGCAAAGTGAGCACACCAGGGGTGAGTTCTACTTACCTTTACTACCGGTTCACAGTGCAGCCGCTTGCGTGCGTGCTCTTCTGCACATGCACAGAAGCGTTTTGATGACATTGGGGTCGGTGGGCGGAGCCTCTCGCTGGTTTTACTACCGGTTCTATAGAACCGGTGCAAACTGCGGGCAACCCACCACTGGAGTACACACACACGAGCGAACCAGTAGCAAAGGTAAGTGAAACCCACCACAGGTACCTACTAAGCAACAATACAAGGGAGACTTTAATAAGTGGTCAAATTAACATTGAAACCTTAATATATAACAATTATTTTTATATGAGTTGTAATGTTGTTTTTCAATGTTATGCTCAACTTTGGATGAAAAAGCTACATTTTATTCATATAATGTTGCTCTTAAACTAATTTAGATTGATGGAATTTTTTTTCTTTCTTTTCTATACTCAATATTCTAAGCTGTTTACCTAATTAAATGTTAATAATTTTCAATATATTATATAAACATCAAAGTATCAACACAACGTACTAAAATTTACAATGTAATGAAAGTGGGGGGAAAATCTAGTTTGTCAGGTACTCCAGTACATTCCTAACCATTTTTTTAATTGGATGTAAATTTAGAAAAAAATAAAATGGCTACCTCAGGCTTTCTTTTACTACATTCATCTCTCCCTCTCTTCCCCCCCCACCCCCCCCCACTCATTCTCTCTGCCATACCCATGCTCTGAATCAGCCCTATTTACTTTTTACAGGGTTTGTTGGCTGTATTATATAACTATCCGTGAATCATATCACGAGCAAATATATTGACAATATCCTACTTTAACAAATAGACTGACGGGAATCAGCTCATGCCAGGCTTGGCAGATATTGATATGATTAAAGCTGCCATACAGTATCTACATTGAAAAATTCAGATACCCACTAAATGGCAGCAAAAAGGTGCAGAAATCTATGACTGCTTGCTACCACAAAATGGTTATCTGAAATGCAGGCCTAATTTGGTAGTCATGATGATACTTACTGTCACTATTGTTACTACATTGCTCCTAACATAAATGCTGCTAACATAAATATTGGTGATCCATAGCTGATCAGAAGTCTCTTCTATGCTTGCCTATGAGTAGTGTATAGTCATCAGTATATGTCTACCTATGTAAGATTCATCTGACAAAAATTTCTTCTTCTTGTGCCATATCTGTCATCGGACGTTGGCGATTATTTTGGCAATCATGTTTTTATCAGCAGGCGCACGAAAAAGTGCTGCTGAGTTTTTTCCAAACCAGTCTCTTAGATTTTGAAGCCATGATGTTCCTCTTCTGCCTGGACCTTGTTTGCCTTCAATTTTTCCTGGAGGATTAAGTGAAGTATGCCGTATTTTTCTGGGTGTCGCATCACATGTCTAAAATATTCTAACTTTCACTTTTTTATGGTTGACAAACAATTAGGAAAAATAAGACATTTCATTCTTTACCTCAGGCACCAAAATGTCACGAGACAGCACAAAAGAGAGAAGTTAAGTCCTTGCTCCTACAGCTAACTTTCATCAAATGTTTCCTGACTAGGTTTCCACATACATGTAGTTCTGCCATTAGAATTCATACTCAAAGTCTGTTTACTATGGCATAGAGATATAGTGTACAACTTATTATGAACCTCCCAGCTACTATCAGTCCAGGAGTGAAATCCAACAGGTTCTGACAGGTTCTGGAGAACCGGTAGCAGAAATTTTGAGTAGTTTGGAGAATCGGCATATATCACCTCTGGCTGGTCCCAGAGTGGGATGGGAATGGAGATTTTGCAATATCCTTCCCCCAGGAGTGGGGAGAGAATGGGGATTTTGCAGTATCCTTCCCCTGGAGTGGGGTGGGAATGGGGATTTTGCATAACCTTCCCCTGCCATGCCCACCAAGCCATACCATGCCCACCAAGCCACGCCCACAGAACTGGTAGTAAGAAAATTTGGATTTCACCACTGTATCAGTCTCATCATGTTTCAAAAGGATTGTTTTGCAGCACAGATGTGCAACACAGGAAAAGTGAAATGATGTTCTGTTGGTGCATTCTGAAGATAATGTTCAATCAAGTTCAAACCCTGATGATTACATTTGTGATATTAAGTCTCCATGGCTCATCCCAGTTACTCATCTGTACGTGGCCCAGAAGAGTGAACCGCATCACACAGCTAATCCTGACCAAGCATTTCCTTGAAATTCACTATTTTGCTTTTAGGAAAAACATTCTGCCATTAAAAATATGCAAAAACCTTTTGGCGTAATTCAGTAGTGCATTCTTTAAAAATTACAAACATGCTTCTACTAGATAATAACCAGACAAAAGTGAAGCAAAGAATGTTTACAGCATGCACAAGTACTGTAAACAAGAAATACAAAAGCAGAATTAAAATCCAAAAGATTTCCAATGTCTGCATAAATGTGCAAACAAACATATATCTAAGTTATTTTAATTTAATGTCAGGGCATGAAAACTTGGCTCCAGTTGTCTCAACTAGATATAAATGTGCATACCTGTATGTGTTTAAACTTACGAGATTTTAAAATAACCAGGACTTTTATATTACTCCAATTTCTTAATATTTATTCATTTTAATGTACTTACAAAAGGACTTATCTCCAGCTAGTTGATAAAAGTGACGACAGACCTGGGAAATCCGGGAAATATCTTTATGAGTCAGCAGGGAAAAGATACAAAGCCACAATTCATCAGGAAGAAGCAGCCACAGTGTGGGACTGCAGTCACTTTTCTAAACAAAATGAAACAAGAAAGCAATTGAATCCCAAAACAACAACAGTAACAAGCATGCAAGTCAGATCAATACTGAATAAATGAGACACATGTGAGCAAGGCAGTAGCAGATCAAGGTTATGATTTAATTCACAAATTGTTATTTGTGTACTTTGCTCTCAGCTGGAAGATACCTGTAACTATTTTTTTCTTCTAACAATCTGGATGATTTAAAAATATTGAATGCTTAAACTAAATTATTACTGTATTTTTTTATAAAACAACAAAGGGCTACAGAATGGAACATGATTCCTATTATATACACACATATAACATACCATGCATGTTCGTGAGACTGAAAGATAGACAACCACTACAATGATTCATTTAATACAAAAAGTTAATTTTGTTTGCAGTTTTGATGGGTAAAACCAAACAATCATAATTTAGAAAAATGTGTATAATCAGAGTTAATAAAATCATTGCTCGTAAGTACAACACTGGAAAAAGATATGACCATTTTTCAGTTACAACCTTTGTAGCATCCCCATGATCATGTGATCAAAATTCAGTTGCTTGGCAACTGGTTTGTTCTTATGACCATTGCTGTGTCCCAAGATCATTTTGCTACCTTCTGACATGCAAAGTCAATGGGAAGCCAGATTCACTTAACAATCATGTTACTAATTTAACATCTGCAGTGGTTCACTTAACAATTATGTTAAGAAAAGTCATAAAATGGGGCAAAACTCACTTAACAAATGTTCTCACTTAAAATTTGGGCTCAATTGTGGTTGTAAGTTGAGGCCTACCGGTACTAGACGAAATTTTAATTGAGTAGTCCATGATTTATTGTATTGTGTAACTGCTAGTAATCAAATTAATTTAGTAAACTAAGGTTCGATTAAACATAGATTAGCATGTTATAGAAAGAGTCATAGTCATGACCTCCATTTTTTCTTACATACAATAAATACAGTTATAGAACACAAAACCATACAATAGATAGCAATCATCATGAGGGTGGGTACTTTTAAAAGATTATTTTAATTAAAAGATTTGAAGGGAAGAGCTCCAGCTTCAAGATGCACTGTGTTTCCAACCATGTCACCCTGGCATTCTTAGAAAATAAACTTATGGTGGCTGCAACCCATGGCCACTAGTGAATATACACAGATAGTCCTCAATCTACAACTATAATGAAGCCTGCCCATGATGGTTGCAAGTCATGACAGTCATAAAGCAGATCACCATGTGACCAGACATGTTTTTACTACCTTTTTTTGAAGGCATCATTAAACAGATGTCACAATCGTAAAGTGAATATTTTCTACGGGATGTTTTTCTGAAAACCAGAAGTAAATGCTGGTTTTCAGTAAAAACATTATAAAACACATGGCGATGGGATGCTGCAAACAGACATAAATACAGGCCAGCTGCTTAGTGTCCATGCAGTCACATAATTGTGGGGAGGAAACCGTCAGAATTTCAAAACCAGGTCATAAACAACTTTGGAGGGGAGGGTCTGTTGGAACTTCAAATAATCTTTAATAAATGGTCGTAAATTGAGCACTACCTTTATTTCCTTGGGCACTTTAGCCCCAATTGCCTGTGGCTATTTAAATCAGATACTATCTTCAATGCTGGCAGATTAATATACCAGCCGGACATAGACTCTCAGGGTACCAATACTGATATATCAGCATAAGCTTACAAAAAATCAAGGAAGGAATTACTGACCAACAATCTGAGGCAGTTATGGTCTGGTTGATCATGAAAAGTTGGAATTGGGTGAACAACAATTACACCTATATTGAAAGAACTGTTACAATTAAATGGGACACTTAACAACATAGAAGCCTGTTTTGAACAGGTGCATTTCTTCTGAATATCCATTCAACAAATTAGATTAAAATGCTCGACAAGAATGTTGCTTACATAATGATTATTACAAGAAGCAGAGAACATCTTTTACCATACTGTGATATTTCTATGCAGTAATCCTTAAGAATTGTGCAAACATAACATAACCATCATCAACTGTATCAACTGTATCCCACAGACCCAGAAAACTATTTCAAAATCAGCCAATTTCGAAAGTCCCTCTGGTGAAGGGAAAACACCAGTGTCCTCATCCACAACTCCTGACTCTAATGGCCTGCAAGCTGAGGGCTGGCCAAGTTTAAAGGCTGCTTTGCCAAAAGGGGAGGTGGGGGCGGGGCGGGGAGGGAATTGGAGAAAAGTGTGGAGGAAGTCAGCAGATACCAGAGTATGACAACAAAGATAAGCCTGCAGATAAAGTGCTGGAAAATCCCTTATCATGGCCTATATAAACATACTCTCCCATCTGTCTATGCTGCCTGATTGGGACCCAGATCATTTGTCAGGTAATAAATAGATGTGGTTCCTCTATTGGAATTCTTTATGTAAAAAAAGTTAAGGGCCAGATTGTTCACAAGAAGTCATGGCCTGTTTGTGTGGCTGGGGCAACCTCTGTGTCTGCTGGTGTGAAGGATATCATTTCTCAAACTATTGCTGCCTATCCCATTCGATGTGTCCTTTGATTTGTGTATTTTGTTTGAGAAATTTTCTTTTGCATGCTTGGACTGCCGACACTGTTTCGTTTTCAATTCCTGACCCTGAATGCTTAAGGATATGAGAAGAATAAACTGCAACAGGTTTTCTACATCTTTGGAGTCCAGTGTTTGCTGCTAATCAAGAATCAGTTATGTAACTACAAGGAACTTTGCCATGGTCCTTTTAAAAAATGCTTTCTATATTGTATCCAATTATGGCTGTTAGAGGTTTCAAAAATAATTCTCAAGTATTTCAGACTTCTCATGAACACAATATCTCACTTCTATTAAAGCAGTCCATCTTTTTTTTCACACTTCTGCACAAGCCTGAAAAAAAAATATGGTGGCTTTAATAATCATATTAACTGTAATAAGTCAGTTCCTTAAAATAACTTCTCACCCAGAAGATTGGAAAAGGATTTGATTTATAACATCATCAAAGTTCTAAACCTTAACTATATAATGGTATACATACATTCTCCAAATGCTTCTGATGCTACTGTTGCAATATATAACTTAGAAGACAAACATATGCTTACCATGTTTAATTTGTTATAATCCTGAGAAGCGTTTTCATACTGCAGCCTACATTGTGTCCCTAGAAAAGAAATATGAACTATGAGTTTCCCAAATATGCAGTTATTTGGGACAACACAGCAAGCTTTTCAGAATCGTAGAAATTGACAATATTGAAATTCCACTGCAGCTCAATATACATTCATCTTGAATATGTGTCAAACAATTTGAAATTTCATTGGCTCATACCAATTTCCTTTCATTGTAACTCAAGTTGCACAGCTATTGCACTAAAATATTAAAGTACTCTTTTTTTTACAAGAGTGTTTTGGAGTTTTTTGCTTGGCAGATGTGAGAATGGAAAAAATAATATATTTTGCCATGCTGAATGCTAAAGTTATCATAGCTGGGTTGCAAAAGCTCAGACAGTCACAAGATCACAGCAAAGTGATATTTGCTCATATCTGTCTGCATTTTTCCAGCCCAAGCTTAGTAGTTCTGCTGAAGGGAGGTAATGCAAAAACAGTATCTTCTTCTACCAAGCAAAATGTATTCTGGCACAACTATAGTGCAGTTCAAATTGTGAAACCACCACTTGAATTCAGAGCTTTCTGGTGGCTAAATTTTCAACAAAATTTACTCTGATTGTCCCAGTCAGTTTCCTAGTGCCTTTTAAAAGTGCCAGTTATGATGTTCTGTGTTGTAAATGCAATGCATAAACCAATTCTTGCTTCGTTTTACCTTTCACACTTTGGGATCAAGGAAGCTTTCCTACGCATCCATATGTGCAGATGCTCTACATTACAATGTGATTCCAGCTGCTAGAAGAAATCCCTAGCTACAAACCTATGACATCATGCATTTTCACAGATTTCTGTGGAATTTATATACAGAAAGAATATTTTGTTGCCCAGAAAATGTTCTCCAGATCAAATATTTTTTAGGAAATGGCCAAAGTCACATGGCTTATTCTAAAAGATGGTGACAGTAGCAAATTATTTTTCTATTTCTATGTAGAGGGCAGGTATGCAGAATTTAGTTATTGTGAGAAAATGCTGTAATTCAGGAGCCAGGGCACCAACTTAATGTTAAATTCTGCATATTGTTGGTTAATGAAAAGAAGCACTGACTTCTGCCACAGATCAATAGAAGCGAGTGTGAACAGATGGTTGTCTGCCAACACTTTGCAGGAATGAAACACTGTCAAACAGAAGAGCCAGCAGCAAATTATACAAATTATTACCCGGCTATATTATCAAATTATCGTCCAGTCTCCAATCTTCGCTTTGTTGCGAAGGTTGTTGAGAGTGTGGTGGCTATCCCGATACCTGGATGAAGTTGTCTATCTGGATCCGTTCCAGTCGGGCTTCAGGTCACGATTCAGCACGGAAATGGCATTGGTCGCATTGGTGGATGATCTCTGGAGGGCTCGGGACAGAGGTTGCTCCTCTATCCTGGTCCTATTAGATCTCTCAGCGGCTTTTGATACCATCGACCATGGTATCTTACTGCACTGGCTGGAGGGGTTAGGAATAGGGGGCACCGTGCTTCGGTGGTTCTCCTCCTTCCTCTCTGACCGTTCGCAGTTTGTGTTGGCAGGGGGGCAGAGGTCAACCTCGAGGCACCTTATTTGTGGGGTGCCGCAAGGGTCAGTCCTCTCACCCCTTCTGTTCAACATTTATGTAAAACCGCTAGGCGAGATCATCCATGGTTTCAGGGTGAGTGTTCATCAGTATGCTGATGACACACAGCTATACATCTCCACCCCAGACCACCCCAATGATGCCCTTGCTGTGATGTCCCGTTGCCTGGAGGCCGTGCGGATCTGGATGGGGAGAAACAAGCTCAGACTCAACCCCTCCAAGACCGAGTGGATGTGGCTTCCGGCGTCCCGGTATAGTCAGCTGGTACCATCACTGACAATAGGGGATGAGATCTTGCTCCCCACAGAGAGGGCCCGCAACTTGGGTGTCCTCCTGGATTCACGGCTATCTTTAGAAGATCATTTGACGGCCGTGGCCAGGGGTGCCTTTTATCAGGTTCGCCTGATCCGCCAGTTGCATCCCTTTCTGGATTGGGACACCTTGAGCATGGTCACTCATGCCCTAGTTACCTCCCGTATGGACTACTGTAATGCTCTCTACATGGGGCTCCCCTTGAAAAGCACCCGGAGGCTCCAACTGGTCCAGAATGTAGCCGCGCGGGTGATTATGGGCGCAGCTCGTTACGCCCATGTAACACGTCTCCTACACGAGCTGCACTGGCTCCCTGTGGTCTTTCGGGTGCAATTCAAGGTGTTCGTTATCACCTTTAAAGCGCTCCATGGCTTAGGACCTGGGTACCTACAAGACCGTCTTTTGCCACCAATAGCCTCCCACCGACCAGTTTGTTCTCACAGGGACGGACTACTCAGGGTACCGTCAGTCAAATTATGTCGACTGGCTACTCCCAGGGGGAGGGCCTTCTCTGTGAGGGCTCCAACACTTTGGAATGAACTGCCCCCGGAGATACGGAATATCCCTGATCTCCGTGCTTTCCGCTGTGCCCTCAAGACCCTGATGTTCCAACAGGCGGGGCTAAACATATGAACATGTGAATGATTTTTTAAATGTGATCTAATTCTGTGTTTTATTTAATTGACCAAACTAAGTAATAATTTTAATTAGCAATTTTATGATGTTTGTGTGTCTATATTTTTCTTGACTGTACACCGCCTTGAGTCCTATGGGAGAAAGGCGGTATAGAAATTAAATAAATAAATAAATAAATAAATAAATAAATAAATAAATAAATAAATAAATAATGGTTTCAAACTGTGCTTTATTTTAGTTGGGTCCATCACTCTTTTGGTAAATGATGTTAATTAAAAGGCTGATGAGCCATTGGGTCAAGTCCGCCATAGTTTTAAGCAACCCCGTAGATATAGTTCCAATTTCAGAAACCAATTTTGTTATGAATAAACCAAGAACCAGTCTCTGATTACTAGGATAGATGGATGGATAAATAATTCGTTTGCTTCTTTGTTTTTTAGAATACTTATATGGCCATCCTACTCCAATAACATGACAGCATACAAATCACTATACAAAATACAAAAGGAAAACAGCCACTAAATGGTACTAAAACAAAACAAAGCATTTAAATGGCATTTAAAGCATTTAAATTTGTTGTATCCCATTAAATAGGAATTTTGATTGTCCTGACCTAAGAATCCAAGGAAAAATCTAATTTGAATCATGAAGAAGCAATGATGAGCTATCTGTCATAGCAATATTTAATTCAAGTATCTGAATGAACGCTAGAAATGTCCTAGGGGGAACACTGAAGGTATAATACAAAGTTTTCTGTTTCAGTGAAGGTATATGTAAATTTCTTAGAGGAAAAAAAGGGTTAGTTTGCACATAAGAAAGAGTTCAGGAAGCATCAAAGTCATGAATGCACTGGTCTCTGGGCTGCTATTGGATAAAATAAAAAAAGAAGTGGAAATTTTCAAAATATTCCAAAAAGAATTGAGTGATACAAAGCTCCCCCCTTTCAAAATGGAGACTCATTTTATTCAACTGCTTCCCAGAGAGGCTGATTCTTGTTTTAATTAAAACAAGCTGCATTGATCTGTTCAGTGCAGATAACCCCATGACTGATAGCAGAGCCCCCACAAAAAATTAACATGGCAAAAAAAATTATTGTGATGAAACAGGTTCCTTATGAAAACATGCTAATCTGATTTTAAAAGCTATTTTAGACAGAAGTGGACAATCCCTGCTCCACCCCATACAATTAGGTTAATTTTATTACTAAAATTACTACTGAAAAACAAGATCTGTTAGAAAAACAACATTTTAATATGTTTTATTTCTCATGAATTTAATTATAGTGGCAATGGGTACTTGCCACTGTCCTGAAGCAATGGGTTGGGGACAGATTATCCTGGATCAAGAAATAAAAAGAAAAGAGAACAGAGTCCTTGAAGTGACAAAGATGTCACCTCAAATTCTACAAACCTGAAGATGGGCGGCTCTGACTGCTCTTCTTTATTAACTTATTGCCTGTTGCAGGTCTTTGGACACATCGTGATCTACTGCAGAGAAAAACATAGTGCAACATTAATAAAAACAATTACACAAGATGTTATGTGGACCAATATTTAGAATATCTGATTTACATGTGAAGAAAGTCAGCACCCACCCCTCCTAGAAGAATAAAATATTCTAGGAAATATTAAAAAGGCAGAATATTATATTTTCCTGGATGAGAAAAGGAGAAACGTGTTTTTTAAAGACAAAGTAGCTCCCTGCAGCTCCCTCCCCCAGCAGATATTTGGTGCCCATTGAGAACTGGGCCAGCCTATCTACAAAACAAAAGCCCTCAGCTCCAGGGTGATGGGATTAAGACTTGACCCTCCAGGACATAATAGGTTTATCTAGCTCACCACATGGCACAACCAAGCCCCTTCATTATATCACCCAGCAAGGTTCAACCAAACTCGATTCAGACAAACATGACTCCACATGGGAGTCTGTAACCAATAGGATACATGCCCTTGCCACAGGAACCGGAAGCTCAAGGTCAAAGCCCAAGAGTGTATAAATAACACTCACTCTCCACTCCATGTGGTCAGCTACCCAGGACTTCAAAACCACGTGGTCCTGTTCACCATTAAACCATCCTTCAAAGCAGACTTCATGTTTCCAGTGTCTTTCTCCCCACTTGGAACCGAACCCAGATGGACATTTCTTCCAACACATGTATAGTTCACATTTTTCTCAGCCTCAAAATCACTGGGCCAGTTGTTATCCATTCCACACTTTCACTTCATGATTAATATGAAGGAAAAATATGCATGTAGCAGAGGCAAGTGGGGTGGTACTGGATGACAGCACTCAAATTTCTTCTGCTTACATAGCTTAGCTTGTGTTGTTTTGCCGTCTTTAAGGGGAAAAATGGCCACCAGAGCTAATCCTCCTCCATATCTGAGCTGCTGTGATAAGTAAACAGATTGTTAGACTTTCTGGAGAATCAAGCATAGTACTAACCTGCCCATAAATAAACAGATTACAATTTTCTCCAAATAGTCAAAAGATGAAGGAATTTAAAAATCAAAATAAGCAAGAAGCAATTAAGTTTGTTTTGCTTTTGTGCCTTTGAGTCAATTTTGACTTCTGGCAACTGCCTGGACTAGTTCCTGAAGTTTTGTTGGCAAGGTTTTTGCAAGTGGTTTGCCATTTCCTTCTTCCTAGGGCAGTGTGACCAGATCAGGGCTTTTGGTGCCTCCGGGTTTCTAGCCTAACACTTAACCACTACACCAAACAAGCTCTCTAATTTTAGTCTTAAAAAGTGCAAAGATCACCACTCTCATGAAATTCATGCATTTTGGTGATAACAAAGTCTATGCCAAGACCTATTGTTTTTATTTAGATCATTATACTCATGCATGCACTTCAATGTTATTCCCTTTATGGTAAGCAAAACTATGCAAAGCACAGAAGAATGTAAACAATTTTGAGAAAAAGAAACTGGAGACGATAAAAGGTAACATAACTAAATCAACTTTATACTAACAAGGTTTATCATACTTCTATGTACTTTCTACTACCGCAGCCTGTCTTTGTTTTCATCTATGAATACATTGAAGATATTACTATAGAAATGTACACATAGGTGTAGAATATTACTTGTACTAGACTCAATATAATCCATCTCAAATTAGTATTTCATAATTAAATGAAAATAGTTGTGCAGGGAAAACATTAACAGAGGAAGCCAGTATTCTCTTTAAAATAGTAAAAGAGATAATACATAATAGTCTGATTGTAAAAGAACAGTGTGGATATCATGAGATATTTATAAAGTATAAAGCAATCTACCGGGAACCATTATAAATTCTGGGTTTAAAAAATAGAAACCAGAGCACAGAGGAGATATGTCTTTTGTAAATGCACTGCTTTGTTCACACAGTTGTATTAAATATTAAATAAGCAAACCTTGGCTTCAGTTCTCTCTGTGTGTAAGATGAGCATGAAATGTTGGCTCTTTCCCAATGTTTCTTAGGACTAGCCTGTTTGGGGCTTGATTTCCTGCTTTCAAAAACTTCCTGGTCTATAAAAAAATGATCCACAGAATATATTAGCTGCAGTCATAGTTAATTCCAACAAGCAGTTAAAGGAGCTCCAGGGAATGACATAAACATCTAAAACACATCCTAGGCATTCATAAGGCATATTAATAGAATATAATGAGTCCAAAACCAGAAACAACAAATGAAGTCTGATTGGATTTCCCACTTTAATTACATTTGGATATAGAAGAGAAACTCTGAATATCAGCTGTGGAAATGTTGGTTTCAGTGGCCACAGAGATGCTGGACCAAATTACAACTTCTCTGCACCTGCTGAGAAGGAAGGGGAGAGATGTTGCCAGTAATTAATAGAATATACGTATAACAGAAGAATAAGCCTATTCCCAGAGGAATCACAGGAGTTAATGTTTTTGTTAAAATATTGGCAGTGAGGTTGCATCATTGTGCTGAAAACATTGCCTTTTTCTTATGTGCATGTGACATCACACATAGCTACCTCCAGGAGTTTGCCCTGCCCCAGTAGTGCTTGCACTATTACAGCAATGCCAAAAATGTCACTTCACGAATAGGCAAAGACCAGCTCACACCTTTGATTTACTAAATCACTATGAAGTGGATTATTCTTGTTGCTAGAACTAAACAATCCTACCCTACTTGGGAGCAATCTCTTTCTGTTTTATGTAAAATGTACTTTGGAGATTTATCTCATTTATGTGGAGCAATAAAACCAAGAGCATACATAGCAGCTTTCTTCTTTAAGACCCAGTCTTAAAAAAATAAATACTATACCAAGGACTGGACATATCATGAGATCAGAACACAGAAAAAACTTCGGATACACAGTATGAAAAGTCTCAAATGGAAGGTATGTTTATTCATAATTTCATGTATTTCTAAGTCTATTCTGAAAAATACCAACATTTATTAGTAAATAATGAAAATGAAGATAAAACTTAGGGGTCTCTGAAAACAGCTGGCTGTGGAGAAGGAAATTGAGATGGAATAACAAATGCATGGACATGTTTTTAAACTGAGTAGCACCTTAACACTTCCTTTTTCTTCCAGAACTAGATATTTTCATCATGAAAGAGCCACTGCTATCACATACAAAGATTGCTGGAGAAAGGATTTATTTTTTATCACTTTCTTACCATAGCATATATTAGTTCAAAACTCTTATACATTTGTAATGGCTAGCTCTCTTTCATTATGGTGGTGGACAGGACATGTGGGAATCTAGACGTTCCCAGCATCATTAGCACATCACACAGCACTCCAAAGGATATTTATAGCCTGCAAATTATTTTCCCCTCTCCTTAATACATGGAAGATAAATTTAAATTCTTCCTGAGTGACTGACATAAACCCTACAATGAAAGAATTAAATATGAAATCCTATAAATCCTGTTGTTTTCAAAGGAATTTATGGCTAATACCGTTCCTAGATTATGTCATTAAACCTGAGTCACTGCCATACCATGGAGTCGTAATTTTAAATTATCAATGAAGTAGGACAAGAATAAAAGAACATTTCCACTAAATATAGAAGCTTTCACTTATACTTTGTGTTTGTGAAAAAGTAACATGAGATTAGATGTCCTCCAAACAGTTTTGATTTCACCTGCTGATATTCGCAACCAAATGGCTAATATAATATATTCTGGAAACAATTGTCTAAAACATCAAGTTTCCTACTCCTGCATGACATCTCACTAACTAGAAAACAACACTCCAATTTTACCTTTAAAACTGCCTGTTCTCTCCATTTGTTTGGGGCCACTGTTTGCAAACTGAGGCTTCAACACCTGATCTTCAAAATGATTTTGCTGCTTGATGATCTCAATCCTTTTCTTGCCTTCAGAAGTTCCCAGATCATTGTTCATATTTTCATCTGTCTGCTCCTCATACATGCTACCGTTCTTACAGTAGCAGGGTCCAGTATCATAATAGGCTTCTTTGAAAAAAACATGTTCTTGACAAAAAAAGAACTGATGGGCATTTTCATACTGAAGTCTTTTGGACTCATTGAGATAGTTCAAATAAAAATAATATTTAGCCAAAACGCCCTCCCTATGGCTGGAATCTAATGGGACTGTATCGCTATAAAGTGGTTTCTCGTGACCATCCCCTTTAACAGGTGCAGGGAGGAACTCTTTAGCACCATCTGCTGGTTTGAGATCAGTTGCAGAAATATTATAATTTATAGAGCCTTGCTCATTTTTGGAGATGATGCAACGCTTATGGATTACCTGGTCATCATCACTGATCTGGGGGGGCCCAACTAACATAACACAGTCACTATTGCTCTTATTCATGCTTTTAAGGCTGTGATTCAGAGAGTCTGAGCCCTCTTTATAAGTATTGTTTTCTGAAGGCTTCAGTAATGAACTCGCAGAACTGCTCTTAATTTGCATAACTGAAAAGTCCAATGGAGATGTTAATTCTGCACCTTTTTGATATGTATTGTTAAAATTGACATCCTGTTCTCTGATATATTTCCTCCCTTTAAAGATCTTGTCCATTTCCAGCGTTTGCTGTAATTTAGATTCATTTCTCTGATCTGAGGCTCTCTCTTGAGGTTGAATATCTGACATCTGATCCCTCAGCTTATCTTTTTCTACTGTAAACTTAGAATGAAAATGGATATTTCCATTTTTAGATTCTTTGTGGTTGCTTTTTATGAAATTCTGTGTTCCACTAAAATCTTTATATTTTGGGGTCTGTGTAAAATTCTTGCATTTATATTCTTGAATCTCCAAGGTTTCTATTCCTGGATTCCATGTTTCACAGCTGTCAGGCTTTATTTTGAAGCCCAATTCATCTTCCAGCATTGATAAACTGAAATATTTCATAACAGTTGGATTGTCAAAGTTAGCACTGTTACCAAGCTTTTTATAATTTTTGCTGTCCATAGTTGGCCACTTTAAATTATTTTTTGTCATATTTGTCCACTCTTCATCTGAACTGTCACTGAGTGGAGCCCAAAAATAGTTTTCATTTTTATGCTTGGCTGCCTGGATAGAATTTGAAATTATGTTTGCAGAACATAATGTATTATTATTTACCAAAGTCCCAGGAGTTTCTTGTTCAAAATTCTCTGAATTATTTTCAAAAGCTACAGAACTGTTTAAAATATTTGCATGTAATAGCTTTGGATCAAAAGTGTCAGGCTTCTTATTTATGCTATCTTTGCCCCCGTTATTTTGAACCATGTTTTTAAATATGCAGTGATCCAAGACAGATTGACTACTTTCCTGAATGCTGTTCCCAAAAGGCGACTGATCAAGAAACAATTCTGCCCAATTTATATCTTTGAGTTTTTGAATCTCAGGAATGCTACTTTCCCTATGTAGTTCATTATCTAATTCTGAAATACATGTATTCTTTAAGCATTTTCTTTCTTCAAGTCCAGCTGTAGCTCTTGCTGTTTCTTCTTCCTTTCGTAGAGACGTCACTTCAGAAAGCTTCCAAATGATTGAATGCTTTTTTCCATTTACTGTTTTGTTGGGTTCTTCAAAGCCCATCTTACTATCAGTTGTAAAATTCAACAAACAACTTCTAGACTGTATGGAATTGTTATTATCTGCTGAATAAGGCACTATTTTTCCATAGCAAGTTATAGGAGTATATGATACAGAGTTTTCATGAAAAGTATCAGCAACAGATGGGTATAGTATCTTCTGAGGAAGATATTCCATCTGTAGAAATAAAAAAGTGCATATTAAAGCTGTTTTATCTGAAGTTAAAAACTACTGCTGAGCCTAAAGGGCTAAATGTTGGAGGTCTCATATCTTGTCTCCCATAAATCCTTGAGTTTATATACTCTGGCCTACCTCATTACCTTAGTAGCTGCTTCCTGGTTATTGTTACTACTACTTTTCTTCCAAAGAATGCTTTTGCTTGGGATCCTATCCCTACTGCTGATGTATAAAAGGGGGGGAGGGGGGGGACTTTCACAGCCTAGATGCTTTACCAGCAAATAAGTTAAAAAAATGAAAATAATGAATTAAATTCTCTAATTCCTCTTTTTGACAATTTGAGTTTTAAATGATTAGGGAAAACAAGGCCCTGTCTTGGAAGTTAAATTGATATAAGTTATAATTAAATCACACTTTATTAAGAAAGGAAAAAAGAACAAGCAAAATTTTATTATTTATTTTAGGTAGTCATATGTACAAAATCAATGTTTCAGGAAATCAAAAAAAATAGTGCTGTTAAATCCACAAATGGTACTTAAAGGAATCTGCTATAAAAAAAATTATGAAGGAGAAGATAATCTTGCGATAGATCACAAGTTGACCTGCTGGTCGCAGATCTCAAGAGGCATCAAGTATACAACAGCTGAGTTTGCATAGTTCCTTTTCGATTCAACTTTACTTGGACTTACTTTTTGGCTTTCTGGAAATTCCAAGCTAAATTTAGCAGCTGAAGAAAAATTTCAACCTTCTGCTTCCTTTCACTCACAAAACAGCATTAACTCTTTTTCTGTCATAGAAATATTTATTGCCATCTCATGCAAAGATAAGCAATTATTTCTCCCCAGGAGTGAAGAAGTTGAGGATTTGACTCAGTGCTGTATATGACAAACTACAAGTCACCTCAATGTTGGCAGAAACTGACAGAGTGCCTGTCACTTACATCACTCAGTATCCAAAGTCACCTCAATGTTGCAGAAATTGACAGAGTGCCTGTCACTTACATCACTCAGTATCCGAGAGGGAGATAAATGACAAAACATGTCACACTGTGATGTAAACTTCACTGATTTTGTACTTGTGTTGTGACATTGCACACACAAATACCTAAGGGTCACAGTTTGTGTTGTAATGTCATAATACATATTTTGTCATGTTGAAGAAACCTCCAGATGCTGTAGACCTCTATAAATATGGGACTGAGGTTTTGCTTGCACATTCACAGCAGGTATAGATACTGATATTTCACATAATTATATTAAATTCAAACTAATAAGGCTGCACCTCTCAGAAGTTAAAATAGCAAAAAATACTCTATTATAATTTCTGCAAAATACTATAAATCCTCATCTTATTTACATAAAACAATGAACTTCATCTTCCTGAACCAATGGACACATATGGAATAAGTATTTTAAAAGTTCTTACAAAATAATGCAAATAGATGTGGCCAGTTATGCATTTTGAAAAAGTGGGATGGAGAAACTTGCCTAACAGCAAATTGAGGTCAAGTCTTCAAAAACCATTCAAAATAATTTAGCCAACAAGTGCAGGACACAGATTTCCAGTCACAAAGTTGCTGAAACAAAGCACAACAAAACATAAAATTTAAATTGCTAAGTTTTTTTTTTTTAGAGAAATAGGATTAATAAACGACTAAGCAATAGCCAAGCTGACTAAGGATTAAAAGAGCAAAATTCTAGCTAGAAGCATCTGTAGGAGGAGAACAAATAAATTAAAGATGGCAGTCACACCTGTGCGATTAAAACTTCAAGGTTTTTGTGTGTGTGGCATATCTGACTGAATCAATAGAACACCCTGTTGTCACACATGAAATCAGTTCACCATCATTCAACAAGCCAGAACCAGTGGTATCTGAACAAGCCCTGATGAGACAAAAATGACAAACATGTGGAGATATCATGATGCAAATATTGAACTTATATACACGCACCCTTGTCCTCCTTTCTGCTCCTTTTCCACCAGCAGCTGTAGAGGCAGGATAGGGGTAAGCAGTGGAAAAGCCACACTTTCTGCTCTATTCTCTGTCAGCTCCCATATGGAATGATAGTTTTGGAGGTTGAAGCATTCAGGATGCACATGTGAATATTCCTAAAACCAGGATCCTGACTTGAGCAATGAGTAGTTTTTATAATGATTTGGGACGGAACATAAAACATATTAACCTTCCTGATTTAAAGTTTCCATTTTATATGAGGGAGAAAACACCTTATGAAACACCCAAATCTTATTTCTCAGACTCACAGGAAGTGTGATAACACAGCATTCTTATATCATGCCAGCTCCTTCTAATTTACCAGAAAAAAATAGAGGGTACAAGGTTTGAGATGTCAGTTTGATCTTGACCCAGTTTGGTCAAGCCGTTAAGGCACCTAGCTAGAAAGTAGGAGACCATGAGTTCGTTTTGCCTTAACCACGAAAACCAGCTTGGGTGGTTTGGGGCCAGTCTCTCCCTCTCAGCCCAGCCCACCTCACAGGGTTATTGTTGCGAGGAAAATTGGTAGGTGTGTTGGATACCTTCTCAGCCTTGAGTTATTTTTTTTAAGGCGTATAAATAAAATAAATGTCTCTCTGGATTTTTTTTCTTTATGCAAGACTTGAAGTGGGGTGGGGGAGAATTTCATTCATTCGGAATAACAGGGTTGGAAGGGAGCTTGTAGGTCATCTAGTCCAACCCAACCCTCCCCCCTTTCCAGGCGGAAACCCTACTACATCATTTCTGACAGATAACACTGGGCAGCCTAGTTCTGATTTCGGCCCGACAACCTCAACAAACCTCTCTCTCTCTCTCCAACCACGAGCCTGAGCTACGGGTAGTAAAACCCACCTCCTCCGTCGCTACGTAGCATCCCCCTAACCAAGTTCCGAAAGCAAGGAAACTGCGAGCCTCCCTTGCGCGGCAGCGGGAAAAGTTTTGCTTGCGCGGCTTGGTTGCAGTTTTCGCGGCGCCCTCAAGGAGACTCCAAGTTGGGCCGACCTCTTTCTCTTTCTCTTTCTCTCTCTCTCCTCTTTGGAAGAAAAGGGTTGAGAGGAGCGCCGAAGATGAAGGAGCCGCTGGGAAGTTCTCTCTTAACACCAGCCGTGGGAAATGTGTACTCCGCCATCCCCGTGGCAACCGAGGACCGAGGGTGGAGCCGGCTGCTGGGGGAGAAGGGTGGAGATGCCGGCTCCGTTCTCCTTGCTGAGAGTGTCTGAACCGTATATTTTTCATTCAGCCGTCCCCGCCCGCCTTTTCCCTCCTCCTCTTTCTCTTCCGAACCCGGCCGCTGGAAATCCAACTCCTGAGCCCGCCAAATGACCTAGATTGGTGGTTGTAATTCAACACCACATTAACCAGTCCCGATATATCTGACTTTATCCTATGACAGCAATAAGCCTATCTGATGAATTTTGAGCCTGTGTTTCAAGAGGCTTTCGGCTGCCGTGTGTATCTCCTTATCTACTTACTCCAAGGTTAACTTCAGACCAACAATCAAGTAAACAATCCTCCAATCAAGAAACTGCCAAAATGCCATTAGTAAACAACCCATGCAAAGAAACCCGCACCCACACAGACAGGCAAGTCACCAGAATATGAACTGACAGCAAACAGCTCATTCCTTACCAGCGCTGATGATGTTACCTAGTCTGGGTAATGAAACGTTTGCAAGAAAACAAGCACGCTTAGGGAGCACCAAGGACCCCCGCTTCCTTTTTCCAAGTCCTGGAAACTTTATTCAAAATAAATGGGCTCCAGCTGCTCTAGGGACAAGCAAAACTTTCCTTGCGTGAGCAAAGGGTTGCACTAGGGGGCGCTGTCGGATTCCGAGAAAGAAAGAAAAGAAAAGTCCTTTTTCTGACCGCGGGAAAGTTCTAAAGAAATTGCGCTGCGTTCTCTCCCTCGTCGCGCCTCCTGCGCAAGCTTGGCTTCGAATGGCGGAACATGCGCAGTTTGCGCAGAGAAGCTTCCCTGCACCTGCAGTTTTAGAGTTTGGAAACCCAAGAAGGAGCGCGATTGAAACTCCATGCAAGATTGGAATTTGATTCTCGTTTCCCTCCGTTGACTCTTTGCTGCCCCAGAATGATAATGTCATAAATGCCATTTGGAGATTTTTTTGGGGGGGATGATTGGAGTTTTTATTGATTAAAAGTAGATTGTATCAACTGTCATTATATAAATTTAGTGCAGGTGCCAAGCTATATAAAAATGTATTAGCCTGGGGTATTTGTCTGCCTGGCTATGAAGAAAAGGTCAGCAAAGCGGTCATTTTAGGTTTCCTTTTTTATTTACAAAAATTAGGCCAAAATGAGGAAAGGGAGGTTGAGGTGTGGAGACCCTAAACAGTTGCCTAAAGGTCCTACTGTTCCTTGTCATCTCCAAATAGAAGAATCTTGCAAGTAAAACAAACACTTCATTCTCATGTCCTCTTAATGGAGGCAAAAATATTTCTCCCATAATGTGGCTTTTTGCCTTTTGTTTCCAATTAAAATTCCCTTCCCTTGCCCTTACTCTGAAACTGCCTCTTTTTACAAGGTTTGTCAAGTTTCTTTTTGTACTTCAGTTTTGTAAACTATTAAAAATAAATCTCTTTAACAGACCTTTGATTTCCTCAGTAAATTTGCTTTTGACTACTATAAGAGTTAAAGAGACTGTTTTAATGTTCTATTAGTGTTTATTATAAACTGCTTAATCTTTGTTAGATTCATAATATAGAAATATTATCCTTAAACAGAACGACTCCTCTTGCTTTCCAAATAAACGGCATACTAGGCTGCAGAAAACTGACCTCCTTTGAACAAGATAGTTTATACATTCTTAAGTGTCCAGTACAAGCTTTGATAATATCACATTTGTCATGATGCCATCACATGGATTGCACATTATGTGTACAGGTAGTCCTGAACTTACAACAATTGAGTTCAAAATTTCTGTTGTTCAGTGAGACATTTGTTAAGTGAGTTTTGCCCCATTTTATGACCTTTCTTGCCACAGCTGTTAAGTGAATCACTGTAGTTAATAACCTGATTGTTAAGTGAATCTGACTTTCCCATTAACTTTGCTTATCAGAGGTTGCTGTGTCCGAAGGTTATGTGATCACCGCAAAAGGTAATCACATAACCTTTGGACACAGCAATTGTCACAAATATGAACCAGTTGCCAAGCAACTACATTTTTATCACATGATCATGGGGATGCTGCAAAGGTCATAACTCTGAAAAACTGTTGTCACATTTTTCAGTGCCATAGTAATGGAACGGTCACTAAATGAACTGTATGTTGAGTACCTATATAAAGCACAAAACAATTATATCACTTGTTACCCTTCACACTCTCGTAAGCACATCGGATGTAAAGATTATATCACTGATTTGTATTTACCAAGTAGATAAGAGTTCCAATGTGATATCATGTTTGAAGTCTTGAATAAGGCTAGAGTGGCCCTGGTTCAAGTCTTACCTAGTTCGGGTGGATTCCAACACTGGAACTTCATTGGATTATCTTGGACCATTCAGTATATCTCAGTCCAAACTTTATCATAGGGTCATTGTTATGGGTATAAAAATGGGGAACTGTCATGCGTGTAGTCCTCACTTATCAGCCACAATAGAGAATAGAAACTCTTGCTACATGGTTCAGTCATAAAGTGAAACATCATGGGACCATGCCTGGCTTACAATATTGTTCATCAGTTCTGGCTGTGGTTGTTAAATAAGTCACTGTGGGCCTTACGTATGTTGTCATGTGATTGCAGAACACTGACATCCCAGTTGCCAAATACCCAAATCGTGATCATGAGATGGTGGAAATTGGGCTGCATTGGCCGCAACTCTGAGGACCGGTCATAAGTCTCCTTTTTCATATTTAAATAGGAATCTATCAGCCCATGGTAGCTTTTTTCAATATATATTTTATTAGGGAGTCTTCTCATTACATTAACATATAAAACAATCAAGATGTGGACATAGAAATGTTAAATTCACTTTACAAAGATAAGGCTTAAGTTTACAGGTACATTTCCCGCCCTACCCATGCCAGGAATTCTTGCCCATTTGCATTTCAGAGAAATAATCTCTATTTAATTCTTCCCAGAGTTTGTGTTTATAAATATTAAACAAATCACAAAATATATGTCAAGTACAGAATGTTCTATAATATAGTCCAAGCACAAACAGAAATACACAATACTGCACCTACGAACTCTTCATATGCCATCTCTGGTACTTCCAGTTCTAGAGACAAGACTCTTGGTTTATGTACATATTCTTCAGTCTTTTCTCATTTCTGTGTCTAGAATCTAGAAAAAAGCCCTCACAATTTGATCGATATATCTCTATCCCTTCATGTACATGCACGTGCCATTCACTGTATACATATCCTTATTGCACAGTTTATTCTCTGAGGTAATTAGTTCCTCAAGCAATTCAATCTTTCCCAGATCAAATTAACTAATACTAACAAAGGTTTCTGATGATTTTGGAGCAATAGTACATGGACAAGACTACATTTTAGAATCCAGGATCTATAATTAAAGAGCTTAGTATTTTATAAATACCCAGAGGATCAAGACAAGGGTTTGGATTTATTGCTATTATAATATTTGCAATATCTATATAGTCTACTTTTATAACTATATCTCTAAGATTACTGTCATTTTGGTTTTGGAAAACAACAGATGCCTCCTGACTGGGTTCTTGATTCAGCTCAAAGTTGCAAAAAGGGTTAAATATGCACCAAATAATAGATTTTTTTTTTTTTTTGCAATGGAGTAATTAAGGAAAGGAAGAGCTCAAAAATACATTGAAGATAAAATGGTTTCAGTCACAAAAACATTTCATATATTTACTTATAGTTGAAAAGATTGCCCTAAAAAAACTACTAGTATTTTATATTTACTTTTTAGATGATGTAATACATGCAAGGGAAATTACCCAAGCTTTTCAACTAGTCAATTATATTAAAAAAGGTATCTAGTTTAAAACTTGTGCCCTGATCCAGTTGCACTTAGCAACTTTTCTAAATCGGGAGCTCATAATTTCTTCTACAATGCATACATCTTTTTATACAAATTTACAAACACAATCTGATTTTTAATTAAGCACATGGGAATTACATGGGAGTTACTGTAGTTAGAAAGGTTTATATATTAGAAGGTAGATGAAATATGGATTCGGTTTGTTGCACTATGGAAATGTAAATAAAAAAATATTTTAAAAGTTTTTAACTAAGTTTAAAATGTACTTTAAGTACTTCAAACATTTACTTGATTATTTAAAAAAATAATAATTTATTAGTTTGTAATAATAGATAGCAATTCTAAAACTTTAATAGAACAAGAAAAAAAAGGCTTTAATCTTACACTCATTAATCTGGAACTCGGATCTAAACAACATATTCCAAAGGAAACAGGTATAGGACTGTAGGTAAATATCCTATTGCTGGTGTAGTTCGGAAAGGGGAAGAGTGAATTTTGTGTTATGAAATCCAGATTGGCTATTCAGTTTAGTTAGTTCTTCTGCTTCTACTTCCTTACATTTGAAAACTGGGCATGTGGAAATGTTGATCTTCTCTAAATACACGAGATTTTAGTCATATCCTCTTAAGAGCTTGGAGTTACACAGGCACAAAATCTCCATCAAGACAACAAAGATAACAACACGCCACTGTCAAAAGGACACTTTTTATAAATAAATCATGTGCATCCATTGTTAATTACATCTGGTAAGAAAGCATGCTTAAAAATAATGCATGAAATTGTAACTCTGGGATTTATCGTAATGAAAAATAATGAATATAATTAGAAACTAACTTTTTCAGGTATCTGAAATTCACAGGTTTCCACAGAAATTTCCTCTATCTTTGGAAACAGGTTAATTTTTTTAATTGTGTATTTTAGTAAACTTAGCTTTATTTATTTTTTTAAAAAAATTACCATTTCTCTGTAACTTACAATCACGTACACTTAAAACAAAATCTCTAAATCTCCTGAAAAACTATACTTCCACTACTCTGCAAAGAACTTTCATGAGTGTATCAAAGTAAAATCCAAAATGCCATCTTGAAAAAATTATATCCCACTCTTTAGTTTCAGAACAGCTTCTATAATGTG